TTACCCTCATGCCTCTAGTGACTAAAAAACCAGACAAAACATATAAAACAATGCCATTTAAGACACTGGACATCAGGCACTGAAGGACATTAATCCTTGAAAGCACAAGAAGCAAGGTCTGAGCCTTACCACTGCCCCAGTTTACCACCTGAAGAAAATTTCCAGGCCATAATGCAAGAAGGGGAAACTGAGGAGGAGCTCATCAGTGTTCCAGAGCTCAAGAGACAGGTGAGAGTCCAGAGAGGTGTAAGCGGCTCGAGTTCAATCTTCCAGAAACTTTGAGAACAGACAGAGGATAATTTCCAGCTCTTTCCATGAGTCTAGTTTAACATTAATACCAAAACCTAACAAGGGTATTACAAGAAAGGGATATTATAGACCCTCTCTCTCGAACATAGATGTAAAATCCTAAACAAAATATTGCAGAATAAATCCAGAAATATGTAAAAATAACCCATCATAACCAAGGGGTGTTTATTCTAGCAAAGAGGAAGGTGAAGTGGGGAGCGGTGGTGGGACAGGGAGGGACACTAGGAAATCTGTCATTAACACTTACGGTACAGGAAAAAGAATTCTATCATCTCAACAGATTCAAGAAAATTTTGCATTTGACATTTCGCTACATCACACATACACTTAGCAAATTATAAATAAAACATCTTTAAATTCATAAAGAATACTTACAAAAACCCTATAGCAGTCGTTACGATCGATGGCTAATCGGAAAGTTTTCCCCCTTAGGTGAGGAACAAAGAAAGGTGATTCCACCCGGACCACTTCTACTCAACACGGTACTAACTAGTACCGTGACCAAGAAATAAAATAAAAGTCATTATAAGCACATGAGAGGAGTATCTAGAAAAACCCCGAAGAATCACAAACCTAGAATAAAGATTGCTAGATACAAGGTCATTATAAAACAACTATATTTCAATATTTTTAGCACACTATTTTTAAAAAAAAACTTAAAAAGACACTTCACCAAAGAGAATATCCAAATGGCCAGTAAGTATTTGAAAAAATTCTTATTTGCATTAAGTCACTGTGGAAATTAAAATTAAAACCAGAGTAAGGTACCACATTTGTCACAATGTATGAAATGAGAAAACTGGAAAATACTAAGTTTGGCAAGGCTGATAGGAGTGTCCCTTCTGTAAACACTGGGAAAAAAAACAGGCTCACTAAGCTGCTGCAGGGGATGCCCCTGGGGTGGCCAATCTCTCGTCTTGGTTTATCAAATGCTTCTGGGGGGATGGGAGGAGGTGGTCCTGAGGTGTCCTTGTGGACTAGCACATCCTTTAATTACTGGTCCCAGGTCGCCAATATCAGACAAATAGTTAACGTGTATTACTTTCCTAGGGCTACCATAGCAGATCAGCAGGACTCGGGTGTCCTAATTAAAACAGGCCGGAAGTCCCAATTAGGGTGTCGTTCAGAGGTGTGAAGGAACAATCTTGTCTCTCCTAGTCGCTGGAGGCCGCTGGTGTTCTTTCACTTGTGGCTTCTCCTCTCTGCCATCCTCATGCTGCCTTCTCCACGAGGTCTGTTGTATCTAGTCTCTCCCTTAGAAAGACACTTGTCTTGGCATAAAGGGCTCATCCAGATAATCCACCGTAATCTCATCTCAGAATGCTTCATTACATCTGCAAAGACCCTTTTCTCAAATACAGTAACATTTACAAATTCTAGGGATTAGGGCTAGATGTTTTTAGGTAGCCAGCACGCAACCTACTGCATTTGTGTGTCGGATTTCTAAGTAAAAGAATGAACCAGGGACACTTGTGCAGAGATGGTCAGGAGAAGGAATGGCCTGGGGAAAACCTGGTGTATGTGCTGGGAGGAGGTTAACAGGGAGGAGGCAGAAGCCTTACCTCTCATGGGAGTAACATTCCCTAGGCACAGAGTGAGAACTGGAAAAATTTTAGGAAGGAACGCTAGAGCAAAATTTCCTCCTCCTTCACCGAGGTCCTAGGACCTGATCCCCTGAAACTGCTGCATTTCTTGCCATGAGGGGAGCGCTGTGGCAGACCAAGCAAGGTGCCCATTCAACAGCCATTCCTTCCCACTTTTATTTTGGGGGGGCCATCGATGGCTCAGCTAGGAAAACTCACTTCCCAAGTTTCTTGCATCCACTGGTCATGGGACCCACTTCTGACTAGTGAGATAAAAGCAGAAATACTAAGTGCAGCTTCTGGAAAAGCTGCCGTTTTGCTATAAAAAGGGACACACATTTGCCCTTTCCCCCTCTGCCCTTCCTGTGAGGCCCCGGTGATGTCGGGCAGTGTAAATGCCGCCCCAAGTCCCCGAGAGCACTGTGCACTCACTCAGTCAGCCCTGGGCTTTCCTGTTCTGAGAGAGAAACAAGCCCAAATGTGGATTCGCCGGTGTTATTTGGTTTGTCGTCAAACACACTTTTTAAAACCCAAAAAAAGAGATTAGGTATTTTATAGACACTACAAAGTCAAAAATAATTGGATCATTCCTATTTCTCTGGGGACCTAAAAAATAAGGCCTTCACACCAATGCTAGCCCCACACTGGCCCTCTTGAGTGACTGGGTGTAATTATTTTATCTGTGTATGAAATAAAGAGCAGAGAAAGTTAATGTAGATCCTTTATTGATTCCACCAATGTATTAGTAGATATGATAATAATAAATGGAACTTTTACATTCTCTTAACCAAAAATATAACAAATATTTACACTCAGTAAAAATACAAAAAGCATACAGAGGCACTGTCTTTCTAAAAGACATAAGTTTAAGAGGTATCAAAAAATAGGAGACAAACATTGCTCGTTACAGGATACTTTACAATCACTGAATTGTGCAGTATAGTTGCATTTGATTATTACAACTGTGCAGTTTTGTTTTTTTCTGATAAGCTCACATTTCAATTTTAAAAGACCAAGTACAACTGCATTCTGTGTATCAAAAATAAAGAAGCCTTAAAAAAGCACAACAAAAGCTAAAGATGAACTGGGGTTCAAGTTTAAATTTGAAAATGTACTGTGACACTTTTTTGAAGATTCATCCCTCTGTTCTAGCCTTTAGGGTAATGCTAAAGGGATACATCTACTTTAATATCACATTTTTTAGAAACAAAATATATCAGAATAACAATTATCATTGTTTTAAGTATACAAGGAAATGCTTTCTCCTCTTCTTTTTATAGGGAAGAGAACACTTTATAAAAATTAGGTTTGTTCTTGGAAATCCTGATTACTGCCACATTTCCGGCCTGGGAGATGCTCAAGGAGGTTATACTGATGACCACCAGTGTGACTTATCACCCTCATGAGAAACCAGTTAAGACTTTTTCCTCCCCAAAGATCAGATTCAAAGTAATCATTTGGAGGAAGAATCTACTACTTAAAATAAATCTTTATGGAAGTATATAGTGGATTTACTAATTGACCAAATCTTTCATTATGAACAAAACTGTTTTGCTGAAACTTATTTGGCAAAAATTTGCACTGTGGATTTACTGCTTCAGGAAGTCCTGACGGATTCAGAGTTGAGGTGGGATGAGGGCACTAGTCTCTTCAATAAAGTTATAAATTTATAATAAAAACAAAAACAAAAATGGGGGCTTAGAACTGGAGCAAATACAGGTTAAGGCTTCTCTTGTTCTAGTCATGTAACAAACTAAGAGAAGGCAGAAATGTACCCTAAATTAGAATTCAGATATAAAAATCACAATTCCACGAGTTTTTAGGGGATACACACAGATCAAACTACAATGCATTTGGCTTTAGTTCCTGATCACTGTGATCGGCTTACCCCAACACTCACAGTTGGAGCTAGAGGAAAACAAAGGCAGCTACAAGGTGCAGTCAAAATCACATCCTCTGAATCTGTGCAAGATATTCTCAACACCATTAAGGACAAAGACAGGTAAGGCTCCCATTTGATTTCAAACACCTGCAAATAAACAGATATTGTGCAAACAGCACATTTTTTCTGGGGTAATGGATATAAAATAGAATACCCAAACTTGACAAAAAAGGGGATTATAACAGAAGTATCTTTCATTTTCTTTGTTTTGCCCTGGACATGAAAACACTACTATGTCAATCAGTGAAGGGACATTTTTTTTGTTATCAGAGGACCAGTGTTTATAGGTTAAATCACTACAGTGTGACTTTCAAACCAGGACTTTTGATCCAGGCCATTTTCCATGTCAATGGAACAAGAAAGCTATAGAGCCAATTAGCCTCACTCTAACACACCAGGAGGGTGGATTTTTAAGGCTTTAAGTTTCAAATTCATGGGGTTTTTTTTTTTGCCCAAAGGAATTTTTCAGATAAGCTATTTTTCCTAAAATGAAGAGAGAGTCATTTTGATGGAAAAGACAGACTAGTGCCATTGACCACTTGGAAATGATTTACGATTTTAAAATCAAGGGGATGAGGGGCAGGGTGGGCGCCTAGCTGGCTCAGCTGTGGTAGAGCACGTGACTCTTTATCTCAGGGTCACAAGTTCAAGCCCCATGTAGGGCGTGGAGCCTACTATTAAAAAAAAAAAATGAAGGGGACAGGGAGAAAGGGAAGAGATAGCTAGGGAAAAATGAGAACAAACTCTTGAAAAGGGAAATCACAAACCAGCTAAATCCTATAAATTCACATATGGACAACCATTCAGAAGTAAACCCATCTTGGCTCCATGTTAGTCTGGGTAGTGCACATGAATGGCTTTGGCTTTTTCTTTCTTTCTTTCTTTTTTTTTTTGGTAGTCATCACAGAAGTTTATTAAGCTCTCACTTACATTTACATTAAAAAATAATAAGTTTAAACTTAAGATATAGAAAACACTGTAATTAGTAAAAATATGGAAAGTCTAGGTCATCCAGTAAACAGTTACTGAAATTTTAATTAAATACTTGGGAGCGCCATGCCCAACAGGCTGTTAAAAATACGTATCTCTTTACTCTCAAGGGCTAAACTGAGAACCAAGAGAGAATCATTTCCCAGCTCCTCTGTCCCCCCTAAAATTTTCAACCACTTATCACCTCGGTGTGCTCATGAGCTTTCTTGCAGGCAGCTGGGGGCTGCAGGGTCGTTCAGTGTTGAACACAGCCTCATGCTGAGATGGGGTGCAGGGGCGGCTGCAGAACATACATGCAGATGAATTCATTTCCATGGTTACACACCAATAATTGCATTTCCTTTTTAAAAAAGAACTCCACATTTGAGCAGTGAAAAATTTTTGTTTTGGGATTCTGCAGAACTCTCCTGAACTCATTTTCTACTTAATGGATTTATACTTTTAGTTAGATGCAGCATGACTTTCACTTCAGAAAGGACTGGTATACATGTTAAGATAAAATTTCATTCTTTGGAGATGAGAGTGGCTACCCACCCAATCACAGCCTCCCTGTCCCAAAGGACCGATAAGAAAACCCGTGGCAGCTTCATTTGGCCTTCCAAATCAGCTGACTGCAGTATCTTCCTTCCTAACTCCTCAACCACAAATGGCTTCCTATCCCACTCAAATGGAGACCGACCCTACATTGCACTGGTGCTACAGATCAAGTTCATCTCTGTACAGATTAAGTGTATCATCCTGTAAAGATGACTTCAGTCTGGTCAGACCAGAGACAGTTTAATGGCCTCAAACATAAACATCCGCTAATGACAGCTCCCCAAAACAAAGAAAACCACAAAACTTCAAATAATAAGTTACTTTTCAAATACACAAGAATATCCTTGGTACTGGCAGACATTTTTGAATTTGTCCGTTAACCCAAGCTATGGCTTGGAAAAACTACTAAACTACTATCTTAAAAATAACTTGTTAAAGAAAAATCTATACTGATATACATAGGGAGGACTCTGAGTTTGAACCTGTTCTAGTAACTGTGGTCCCAAGGCAGGTCTGGTGTGCGAAGTGAAGACTGGTTTCCAGGCACAACATCCATAGCTGAGGAAACTCCGCATGTGCAAGGATTCGATAAGAGGAAGCATCATTCGGGGCTAGGTCATCGCTCAGAGTACAGGGAAAGAGACCTCTGGGTCAGCAGCGGCGGCAAGCTGTTCGTTGGCAACAACGGCCTGCGGAATCATGAGGCGCTTCTGCCCACTCCTTCCTCAATGGCTTTCGGTAAACTTCAAGCAGGTCCTCCAAAGGTTACACTGCTGAGACCTGTTCATTTTCTGAAAACAGTAAGGACACCGTTAAGTGGTAGATGAGGCTTATTAATAAAGATCAACTTAAAATCTAGTCACCTGCTTAGAAAATTAGTCACTCTCAACAAAGAAATCCTCTCAAATACCCCATCAAGGCCCAGATTTTATTACAACATTATGAGTGCTGATGGCACTGCGGACTGACAGACGGCAATGCCCTAACCGCTTCCTTGTCGCTTCATTACTGCTTGAAGGGATAGAATTTCATTTATTTTTAATAAAGCTGCCCCAGCTGCAGTCAGTCAAGAGTTCCACTGGTAAGAGGAGCTATGCCAACAGCACGATTTCGGGTAATGAGGCACTTTGACGTTTTCATGCCTTAACGTAAGACGCTGCTCCGCTAAGGTCAAGTGCCTCCTCTCAAAATGACTGTATCAGACTGAGCTGCTGTTGGTCAGATAGAAGACCCTATGTGAGCAGGAAGAAGGGTACTGGGCACACAGAAACATGCAGGTTACTCCATTTAAAATATATACCATCATACTGAGGGATTTCTTTTTTTTTTTTTTTTTAACAGAGATTGCTAAGGCATTTAAAAGTAAACATTAATGACTATATGAAATAACAGAGTAAACACCAATTCATGTATTCAGCAATTCATTTAAGACCCATTAAGGTAGTTTGTCAACATACCATCTGCTTCGCTATCTGCATCAGTCACATCTGCTAGTTTAGGATGGGACGGCTGCAAAATATGCCTCTGAGGCTGAGTTACAATCCTCGATGGAACACAGGCCACGGGGCTGCTACCGAGAGAAGCTGGTGGCCGTCTAGAGAGGCTGTCATGCATCATCTTTGACCTCTGCACTGCCACACTATAATCTGGAGGTTTTAGGTGTAGGTAGGGTCCTTCCTTTAGGTCCGCTAAAGAAATCCCCATGTATCCTGGAGGAGTGGGAGGTGGCTCCCTATACCTATCCTCCTTCTTGGGTGAGGTGACACAGTACACTGGCATGAAAAACAAGCAATGGAAATGTTAATGGAAAATGTAAGAAATGAAAAAAAAAACATACTGAAACTTATTACAATGACAAAAGAGAACTCAAAAATAGACTAAACAAATATATTTGAATACAGTGACAGCAGATTAAAAATATAATATTTAAAACTTAATATTTAAACTTGTTTTTCAAACACATAAATCACATTAGGTCTTATAAACAAAACTAGAGTGACAGAGAGTTGAAAGAAGGGGCGCGGTGACAAGTTTTCCTCTGCAGTGGAGCCCCCCCCCCAATTCAGAGACGGCCGCCTGGCTCTTCAAGGACACCAGCCCCGGGGACGACATGGTCAGAGACATTCTATGTTCTGCTGACTGGGAGGATTTTAGCAGAAATGACATCTGGACCGTCCACCCTGTCCCTGAGACACAAACCATTGTTTTACGGTACTCCTGCGGAAACTACCTGTCGGTCCTGCCATATCAACAACATGAACTTCCCGGGTACCGAAGACCTAATTCCTTCAAGGGACCTACTGCTAACTTCTGATCTGTGACCGAGTGAAAAAGAAAAAAAAAAACAGCCATAATTTTAGGAAATCCATCTTAAGTTTCTGTGATTTTCAGTGCCCATTCAAAATAATTGTGACTTTAAAAAAAAATATGACTTAAAATCCTTTTCCCTGTGTTTGTAGACCATGAGACAAAGGCAAAGTTTCAAAAAGCTTCAGAAATAGGTTCAAGAAAGCGGAAGTTCCATGAAATTAGACCAATTCCCAGGACCTAAGGGACAAAAGGCTCTGATGACCTTGCTGATGTAACTTTTAAAACACAAACACTACCTACATATAGGCAGAATAAATTAAGAAGGACCACTGATGGGGCGCCTGGGTGGCTCTGTCGTTAAGCATCTGCCTTCGGCTCAGGTCATGGTCCCAGGGTCCTGGGATCGAGCCCCGCATTGGGCTCCCTGCTCGGCGGGAAGCCTGCTTCTCCCTCTCCCACTCCCCCTGCTTGTGTTCCCTCTCTCGCTATGTCTCTCTCTGTCAAATAAATAAATAAAACCTTAAAAAAAAAAAAAAAAAGGACCAATGATAATTCTAATGTTAACTCCTTTAGACAACCAGGTTTGTCCATACTGAAATTTCTACAACTGTACCAGCAAAATCTGCATGGAGTATCAAGGTCCTAAACGATTTCCATTCCCACCTGAGAGGATGGGGCAGGGACAGGATGGAGAAGTCAGCAAGACCAGTAAGACAAGAATGAAGAATTTAAGCCCAGTCATCTATAAATGAAATCAAAGAGATTTTTAAAAATCTAGTTTCCTAACTTGACAGGAGATTAATTTCATATCCTTGTGCACACATGTTTAGATACCCATATAGCAGTTACCCAGAAGGATTTAATAAAAAAATCCTTGGAAAAAAATCAACAAGCTAAAAACCCCAATCTATAATGCAACTTGACAAGTAAAAATGTACTATAAATGTGCTATAAAAATCAGCACATATTTCACATTTTTAGTAATTTAAATTGACTTCATGAATATGTTATACAGTTGATTCAAAGTACAGTCATTCCATATAAATAGAAAAGCAGGGGCTATTATATCTAAATATTTATGTAATTCAATGAAGAAATGAAAAAAAAGTACTTGATGGCTAAATACTAAAAGGATACATACAACAAAAAAGCTGTGTGTGGTCAGAATGGAACCTACAAGAGGAGTTGGCATACCCATGACGTGTGCTAGGAGGGTATACTGAAAAATATTTTGGACTTCCTTTTTTATCACAATTTTCCTCACTTTTATTACTTAAAAATGTCAGATTCAAAGTTTCTACCATGTATACACAGCAATTGTGGTCCAAACAATTTATGAGGTGACAAAGAGAATAATCCCTTTGTTAGGACTGCATGGTAATACAATCTTTCCTCAATGAAACCAAAGAGATCTCAAAAACAAAACACAAATGAAACTGTTACCTTAATTAATTACCTTCATACCAGCCCTTTCATTTTAATAGGCTTGAATACCTGCCCCCAAACCCTTGATAAATCATCAACTTTTTGAAAATAATTTGTTTGTGGAGGACAGGAAGAGAGGCTGGAGTGAGAGAAGAAATATTTCCAAGAGTAAAATTTTGGGCCAAGATATCCCAATGCCACTTTTTGCCACTTATCTCTAAATTCCACAGATACGACAGGGAATAAAGAACTTACCTATCAGGCCCTTTTCTGTACTTGAAGTAACAGTTTTGTAAACTGGGTCAGTGCCATCCTTGGGGTCCAAGCCTTCAGAGGACTCAGGTGCGATGCTCTCCAACACTCTCCGTTTAACTGTCCCATAGTTTGGTTCATGTGTATCAGACAGAGAACTGGAGGAGGCCCAACTCTGTCTCATCTGATTAGCCTCTAGGTTTCCTTTACACTGACCACAAGTTCTAGAACAGCCTTTAGGGCAGGAATAGGGCTCACAGTCAGGGGGTTCAACTTCAGCAATGGGGCCATCCAAATGGGTATGTCGGTAAGAGTTCAAAAAATCCCAGCCTTTTGGGTTTGGAAGGCTTTGGAAGTTGTCATGGGAGCTGCTTGAACAGGAAGTCCAACTTCCACGACCACTATCCGCTGCTTCTAAAATGACGTGTTCATGAGAAATCTCTTCATTACTCAAAGAAGCAGAGACAGCTAAACTCTTGACGAGAGATGGCTTTGACAACGTCCACCTAAAAAATTGGGGATACACAATTAAAAATAATTTACTGACTTACTGGAAAAACCTTCTTCTGTCCAATCCCAGTATTACTGCCTACAAAAGACTACAGAACATGCATCATAAGTGTTCAATGCCAAAATAATCTTGTGGAAAAAAAAATGACACTGTAATCAATTAATCTCCATTCTCCATGAACATTAATAAATGTTCATACTTAGCTAGAAACATACATGGAAGAAACTCAAATACTTAAGCTAAGTTACCTCAGAAATTTTTCCTGAATTGATTTTAAATGAAAATGAAAAATGAGGTTTGAAATGAATAAAATTAAATATATGTTTTCATTCTTGGTCAACATATTGCTAGACTCTACATGAATACAGAATAAAGAATTCTCAACTACATGTTCTCAACCATGTTTGGTTTTTCAATGTAACTCTGAGGTTAGCCTAATACAGTGCCAAGTAAACAGTAACTTCTCCAACCAACTAACAACTGTAAAATGAATGTTATTATTTATAGCAGGGGCCCCCAAATTAGGGCTCAGGGGCCAAATTCAGCCAATGGTATGATTTGGAGCAATGGCATGTATGGAGCAAAGCATGGTATTTTACATTTTAAAGAGTTTAAACAAAACAAAAATATTCCAAAGAATTTGAGAGTGAGAAAAATGTACTCTGCAAAGCCCGAAATGTTTACGATCAGCCCTTTACCCTCCTCGTCCCCCGCCGGCCCCCCCAACAAAAAAAGCTTACAAACCTTTCATTTACAATTTAAAGCAGGTGTGGGCAAACTACAGCCCAAGGCCAAATCTGACCCTTAGCCTATTTTTGTAAATAAAGTTTTATCGGGACACAGAATGCCCATTTGTTTATGAGTTGTACTAAGGCTGTTCCAGAGCAAAAATGGTAGGGTTGAGCAGTTGCAACATGGAATTCATGATCTGCAAAGTCTGATATTATTTAGTATTTAACTTTTAGAGAAAGGTTGGCTGACCCTTGGTCTAGAAAATCATAGTTTAAAAACCTTTACAAATTTGCTAATACTTCACTCTATCCTAAGTTTTTCATATTAAAGAATACCAGATTTAACAATCATTTTAGAATCAATTTTCTCAAAGATTTCCATATTGCCTGATTCTAAATAGAAAAATAGAGTTAACTTTAAGAAAAACAAAAACCAAAAAACTTTGTGGACTTCTGCTAGCTGATAATTCTTACTCCCTAAATCACACTTTCAGATCAGGGACTGACCCCTACTCCCGCAACCTGTCTACAATGGGTACAGCACTGGGAACACCTCCCATTACACAATCTTTTTGAGCATTCTCTAACTTAATAGCCACAACACAAGAACCACATCCTAACAACAGCACATTCACTGTGAGCTCTTATTAAATTGAAAACATACATGACAGAAAGTTACTTAAATTCATTTTTTCTTTCCTTTTTTTTTCAAAGATTTTATTAATTCATGAGAGACACGGGGCGGAGGGGCAGAGGCAGAGAGAGAAGCAGGTTCCCCACTGAGCAGGGAGCTCAACGCGGGACTCGATCCCAGGACTTCGGTAACACGACCTGAGTTGAAGGCAAACGCTCAACCATCTGAGCCACCCAGATGCCCGAAAGTCACTTAAATTCAGTAAATACTTTAAAAATGAACACCCATTCATCTTTCAAACTACAACTTATTTGCATACTCAAGACAGAAGATGCATGCTTGGCCCTCATATTATTTTATGGATCCCCTTGCAACCACCCCACGGGGACAGGGGTATCATCTAAGGGCAAGTTGGGAAGCACAGCTTGCAGCGAGCGGCCACTTGGCTTGGGTTTTGTGGTATGAACAGGGGCAACTATATTTACCCAGGGCCAAGTTGAGTATGATCTCCTATCCCTGAGGAGTGTTCTGTCTTTTCCAAACGCCCAGTGGACTCAGGGACCACCACAACCTGTGAAGAACACCGTTCATCCTGCAGAGCTGTAGACATGGAGTCAACAGAACAATTGCTCACGATGCTGGATCGTGAAGAAATTTCACTATGGCTGGAGTCAGACAAGTTGTCAGATTTAGCTGATGGTATAAGTGTATAACCTAAACGAGAGAAAACAAGTGATTAAACTACAAAACAAGGAATCAGAGAGGGGGTATGTGGTCAGGGAGAGGATGAAGAAAAACAAAAACAAAAGAGTAAGCAGCAATCTCATTTCCCATCCGTGTAGATATAATGATGCCAATCTCCTATACCCATTCCCCTACATATCCACTCATCCATCTACCTAAACTGTACCAACCCGACTCCAAATTCAAGCAATACGAAGTCGAAATCCAGTATTACTTAGGAAACTAGTCCAAATGTATATCTGCCCTGGGCTCTCACATAGCTACAAACATTTAATAAAATAAGAAGGCATTAAATGTATTTCAAAATATTAAAAAGCAGACATCTTGAGTTTCTCAACTTCTTTTTAATGCTGTGCCCCCTTCTTTGATTAACATAAATATTTCATGGCCTGATCTGAGTGTCTAGGATACCACCTTGAGGTAAGGGTGGGTGAAGGAGTCAAGACTCCAGAGAAAGAGTAGTATTTTTGCTTTTTATACTACATATACTTACCTCAGATATTCTGCTTATGTCACCTAAGGAGTCTTGCCCCAAGTTGAAAGCAATTATTTTCATATTTTTAAATAAATTGTGTTAGCTATGGATTTGATCTTATACCTGGTTTCCTTTTTCTTCACCAACTTTACAGAATATTGCATTCAACAGCAGAACTGACACATTTATAAAAATGTGTCACGAAAATAACAGCATCTGCCTGTTTTAAATTGTTCTATGATTTACTGCACAGCACATACAGCAAGAGAGATTTTCTTTTCCATTCTCTGGAATAAATGGGTGGAGATGGAATGATGTAGAAGCATCTAAAAATAAATCTGCGGCATGACAGTTAAATGTACATAATGTCTATTTTGATAACTGTTAGAAAAGCAAACTTATTCAGAAATAAAAGGAAATGCCATAGTAATCCCAACAAGGAGTAGGTCTCAAAGAAGCAAACAATTATTTTCCTTTTCACTGGAAAAATGAGGTTCATAGGTAAATGACCATTAGGACAATCCTGAAAAATCTCATTAAGAAAAACTATAGGCTTTATATACACATAACTCAAGTCATCAAAGAAAAAATTTGTTGAACACTAACCATATTAAGTAGTCCCAGTAACTATTTCAGAGAGAAAAATGAAGAGCCAGAATACGGGTTATTTCTCTGTGGCTTATGGGGCCCTCAGGCACAGGACAAGTTGAGATAAGCCAGGGTTTTGATCTTCTCAACATTGCCATTTCTCAGTGCCCTATTTAGGAGGTGATTGGTCAATTTTCAAGAGGACCAAGAAAATGGATTTGGTAAATTAAAAACAAAAACAAAATATAAAAATTCTTCCTTGAAAGAAAAAAAATCTTTGCTCTTTTAACCTGGGGCATACACTTGCTTTACTGTTTTAAAATTAAATCGGAGGGGGAGACAAACCATGAGAGACTATGGACTCTGAGAAACAAACTGAGGGTCCTAGAGGGGAGGGGGGTTGGGGAATGGGTTAGCCTGGTGATGGGTATTAAAGAGGGCATGTACTGCATGGAACACTGGGTGTTATACACAAACAATGAATCATGGAACACTACATCAAAAACTAATGATGTAATGTATGGTGATTAACATAATAAAAAAAATTACATCCCTATGTCTTTTAGATCAGTGTTTCTCAATTACAATCAATTCTAAGAATGACCTGGAAAGGTTATTAGTACACATATTCTTGGGCCTCTTTCTGGCAATTCGAATTTATGAGGTTCGTGGTAGAACACAGTAATTGTATTTTTAACAAATTTCCAAATGATTTTTCATTTGCTATGTCAGACTATCTCCTTTTCCTGTCTGAATCAGAGATTTATATGAAAAGTAAATGAAATAAAAAGTGTATGTGGACAAGATACAGTTTCTTGCCTTTTTCCTTTAGCTTGTAAAGTAGTTGCAGTAATAAGAGCAATAAAATTCTCTAAAGCAAAGGTGGGGATCAGATCATTACTGGGGGTTCTAATGCAAAAGTAAATACTGACTTCTAAAAAGTACCTCTACTTATTTCATTCACAGACCCAGCCGCTATCAGCAGGAAATAAAGCCAACTACAGAAAACAAGAGTATAAATTTACTCACATTAGTAAAATAACATGTACAAATAAGGCACTTTAAATAAATACTACTTTGTTGCTAGAGTACCTTTAACACTAATCATGAAATGCCTATAAATCGTATTTTACACTAAGTTGTCTGCCTAAACTTTGATAAATAACTTAAGCTACATTTACATTAATAAATGAAAACAAGTTTAACACTAAAATTAAGTAAGGATCTCCGTCAGATTGTCTTTCTCCTTTTAGACTTGAATCGCGTATAGAAGCAGTTTAAAGTGTTACGGTTGCCTCCGCTATTTGAATTGAAGATGTCACTCCCTTTCTCATCTTTGATGTTGCTTCTAACATCCTTCACTTTCTCACAGCTTTCTGTAGCTTGATGGTGATCTGCGTCCTCTTTTTTGCTGTTGGCTAGTCTCTCCCTTGAAAGAGTTCTTTCCCTAAATCTTCTAAACGGGGATGTCATTCTTTTTCTGGCTGTGTTCTCACAACTTGTCCTGTCTCTATTCTCCTCAGTGGCCTTCTCGGTCCTGTCTGTTCTTTTGGCTGTGCTCCCGGTAATCTGAAGGATTTTCTTTTGCAAGTAAACCCCACCTATTCCGGGGCAGTTCTGGCCACTGATCTTGGTGCTGGACTCACGGGGAGGGGATGAGGAAGGCCCTGAGAGGCGCAGCAGGATGCTGAGATCAGATAGGATACTGCCAACTGGAGGGAGAGATGCAAAAACCCTGTCATGGTCAATTAATTCTTTCCAGTTAATCACAATTAGCCTGGTTTCTATTATAGAACATTTCACTATTAAAAAATTCAAACATTTTGACAATATTGGAAAAATTGAAATCTAGTAACGTATTTTTTAAAGCACAGAGTCTACTATATAGCATAAACACTGCAGTCATTGCAAGACAGAACACAAGAGAAAAATTACCTTAATCAGAACAAGGTGGTAATAAAATATTGCTGAAAGTAAATGAAGCTTGTCATAGGGAAAAATATGACAAGAGTATGAGGTAACCAGAATTATTTCTCAAAAATAACTATGTCTAGAATTTTCAGGTAGATTCTACTAAGAAAAAGCTTGGTAAAAACCATACAGGACACATAAATAGTAAATACAATGTAAATATTTATAAAGCACAATTTCTGATCCTGTTTATCTCCAAGGGGAAAGGTTGCCTTCTTTTAGCACAGGGGAAGATGAAGGTTAAGGCTGCCTGATGTCTCATTTTTTTAAAGTTCTTATTTAAAAAAAAAAAAAGTTCTTGCTTATTTAAATTCCCCTTATGAAAAATATGGAAGATAGGCTTATTTCCTTCAGTGTTAGGAAATAGAATTCCGAAGTTCAGCTAGAACCTAATAATGTACTCTTAGTTTAATAATATTTTGGGGGGCACATGGGTGGCTCAGTTGTTAAGTGTCTGCCTGGGGCTCAGGTCATGAGCCTGCTTCTCCCTCTCCCACTCCCCCTGCTTGTGTTCTCTCTCTCACTGTGTCTCTGTCAAATAAATAAATAAAATCTTTTAAAAAAAATATTTTTGTTCAGTTACAGACTACTGGCAAAATCATGTCTATGGAAAATAAAAGGAAATATAGTAACTGGTGGGGTTTTGAAAGGACATATGTAAGAACAATAAAAAACAGTTTTAAAGAAAATAATTTCTTCAGGTTTCTAAGGATCCTAAACATGTTTATGACAGTCTCCTGAAGCTATGAATGTCAAAGTCAATTGTTGACCACATGATGAAAGTCAAAATGGCAAAAAGACTTCTCGATTCTAGTGGTGAGGGTGGATTTTCCTTTGGGAATGAGAGCAATGGGGAAATTCTTTTTCTCATAAGTCACATTCAGGCAAGAACACCGTATCCAATTCAACTAGTTTCCTGGTTAGAGAATTGTCTATAATGGGACCTCTAAACAGCTTCCAAAAGGTGTGGACCGTGTAAAGGTGTTCTTGATAGAGTGCTAAGAGCATGCGGCCACTGTTCATCAGGACCGTGTGTGTGACAGGATCCCCCTCTGAGATATGGTAAGGGACACTTCAGATAGGATCATGCAGACAGGAAAGAGATGAAACAGATCTGCATGCCTCACAAAATCATATATGAGCTACATACCACAAGATCAGAAACCTGTGTTATATAATCATACCTGTTAATATTTACTGCTTATATGACCTATTTAATTTCTACTACTCTTTTCTTAGTAAAATCTGAATGAAAATTCTAGCTAGTCTTAGCTATGTGAAGGGGGACAGGACAGGTTAGCAATGAAGCTATGTTACCCTGGGGTGGCAGCAGGGAAAAAGACAACACACCTCAATTTACTAAATACTTCTCATCTATCAGGTTTTATAAGTATTATTTCCTTTAACTTTGTATGAGGCCCCTAAAAGAGTTGGTCTTTGTCTCATCTTACAGACAGGAAACCTGACCTTAGAAATCAGTTGGGCATAGTTACACAACTATAGTGGGGAACAGAGTCAAAATTCAAACTCAGGTCTGACATCACTTACCACATCACTGCCACAAATGTGGCAGCGAATAAAAAGGAACCCTCAAAACTGAGATGAAACTTAGAACATGGGAGCTAAGGAAAGCTCTGGAAGTTTCTCCTTCCTGCTAGAATTCATAAGGTTGTCTTCCCCAACCCCATGTGCCCTCCTGTACTGTGATTATTTATACACATTAATTTTCTTTTACATCTGTGAAGATGAGGCCGGAACTAAAGCATTTTTTTTTTTTTTAAACCAGGCTAACAAAGTGTGGAGGGGCCAAAGTAAGAAATATACACACCCTTTAAAATGCTAGACGTGCAGCTACCATGAAATGGCATTTGCATGCACACTACTAGTCAAGACAAAGGCTTCATTCTCAATTATGAAAACACAGGTCAATGAGCAAGACAGATTTCAGATATTTTACCTCAAGAGGTCCTATGTATAAAATTCATAGGAGTATAGGTTATTTTAAAGCCTGATTACTAAAGGTAATAATACTCCATTACTAAAAAAAGTAATGTATCAACCTAAACATTTCTTTCCCTAAATTTTGTAGTTGGTTAAAACCAGTTTCTTGCAGAAATTCTTATTTTAAAATACTCCATAGAAACATTTAAGTAATTGGAAATTTGTGTAACAACATCAAGAATCTGCAGAGAATGAAACAACTGTGACTTTTGCCTTCATTCTTATCTACGCTTGTCCACTGACAAAGGGTCACACTTTGAATACAAGAGTCCTGGTTATATGATGCACAATACCTGGAAAGCATCTGAATAATGCAAGCTAAAACATGTAAGTCCAACAAGTCTTAGGAGTTACATGTTTCTTCACTTTCTATTATCACTATAGATTGAAAAGCAAATTATGAGCCACCAAGTGTTGTTTGGTGTAATCAGGATGAGCTTAGACTGTTACGTCTTACCTTTGCGAGGGGAACCTTGAGGAGATGCAGGAGGACTAGAATGTAAAGATGATGCCACAGAGATAGTATCTTCTGGATGTTTCTTACCACTTATTTCTTCAGTTGTTCCTAAAACTTTCTGAGGTAAATTTGTATCTAAAAATAAAACCCAAGAAGCAAATAAGCATCACTTCACAATTAAAATATCTGTAGTGGCCTGAAGTACTACGTAACTAAAGCCATGAACACAATGGCTAGAGTAGTTAACTGAAATGTATAAATGACAAACAAACAGGGACTACATGACTGGCTAATGGCATACAAAGATTCTCACCTCCAGGTTATTTGTTCCAATTCAGCTAGTCAGCACGAACCAGATTATAATAGTTCTCTGTTGTTTGTTTTGTGGTGTAAGGAAAACTGAGTTAACAGTCTTAGTGTCCCAGCCCCCACAAATGACACACTTGTTTTGTTGCAAGTCTTAACAGAGAAGGCTGCCCTCTAGAGGTGGCCTCTCCAAGTCAGGGCGAGGCACGTGGCGGAGGCAGTGTGGGGATGTTGGCACTGTCACTACCTGGGGTGCAGCTGTGCTGTGGGGGCACAGAGGAGGCTGCAGGGCTGCCAGGCCAGCCCTTTTCAAGAGCACTAAATTCACACTACAGGAGAAAAGTAGACAACAGAAACAATCATGAATTTATGGGAAAATAGTATGGAACCCCCTGGAAACATGCTGCAAAGTTCTATCTTTACTCTTGTCCAACTGCTGGTCCTATTTAGCATGTGTCAAACTTAGCAATGGTTTCACCACCCTGACACTTTTGTATTTATCTTCTTTAGGAGATGTCCAAGAGCTACTGACACTCTTTTAATCAGTAAAGTAAGCCCAACTTTGATGGGCCTTTGTCATAGTAGCAAGCAGCCCTTTCACACTGAAGACATTTAAATCACAGTATACTCACACTACTCTTAATTAAGTGCTATTTTAATATAAGTGTATTTATCATATAAATAACAGTCATATTACACCAAGCACAAAAAAGGGCTATTTGGAACAAGTAATACTACCTTTTGGGTGATGACATCCAAGTAAGAAGCCAGATCAGGATTTGTCTCATTTCGTACTCCTAACCAGCAACTTGATAGACTTCACCAATTTTGCATCTAATTACCTCCTCATTTCCATAACCATCAAACTAGTTCAGGCTCTGAGCAGCTTTGTTAATTATTACATCAGCTTTCCATTTGGACTCTCTGTCTGAAATCTTACTGCGCTCCCTACTATAGTCCTTCTCCAATATAAAATAGACCATAACCTTCCCTTGCTCAAATCTCTGCAACAGCTACCCACTGACAACTCTCCTTTGGCACGCCATGTTATAATTTCAGCATGCCTAGGACCTCACTTCTCGTCATCCTGGGAGGTTGTTTAATATGATGATTAAAAGCAAGGACTTTAGAGTCTGTTAGCCCGGGCCTAACTCCCAGCTCCATTACTCCCTGGTGTGTAAGTGTGTGTGTTACTGAGAACCTCTATGTTTCCTCTGTAGAATGAGAATATTAGGTACCTTACAGGGTTATTGTGAAGATTAAATGAATATAACAAACCTAGTAAAAACACTCAGAATCGTGTCTGGCATTCAGGGGGTGCTCTGTAGGTAGTAGCTTTATTATTTTCTCAACACTTTCTGCAGCTCTGCACTCAGAGGCAGCACAATGCCCATAGCTCCTTGTAGATCCCAAGCTATTCTTCTGCCTGAAGCAATTTCTCTGCCATCTCTGCCTAATTACCTCCATCCCAATCAACCTTAAGACTCTGCTTAGGCGTTACCTCCAAAAAGTCACCTCTGAAGCTCTACTTTATACCTAGCTCTGTGTCACCCTAAAAGCTTCCTATCTTTTTTTTTTTTTAATACATTTTTATATGCACATATCCCCGGCATAAAGACAAACACATTATACTTAAATTACCGGTTTGTATGTCTATAGCATCAGAGTGAAAATCTGGCAAGGGAGGGGACCCTTTCTTATTCAACTTTGGCTCTAAAACAAAATCAAATAATTAAACTCACAGACTTCTACTAAATATGTCCTAAATATAATACATGGGGCTAGGTAATAATGTTAGGAACCAAACTGAATCTAGCTTCCCTTCCACATGGCCTAACAAAGGGGCAGGAAAAAAACACGGGCTATTCTTTATACACTTTACAATCTCTTCTTGTCTCCTAAGTTTTTCAGAAGTGATCATTAATGAAAAAACAATATACATTTTTAGAATAAGCAACCTCATTCTCATAGGGCGCATGTGCATTAGATAACTGTGCCATGCACCTCTGAATGCAGTAAACTCTTGGTACCTCAGTGTAGTGCTATAAGTTTTTCTGTTGATGTGACTACAGAAATTCCAATACCAGCATTTAAAATATGTACGCTGTCAATACAGACCTACACGCAAACTGAAACCTTTTTAAATTCATGAGTGATGATTAAATTATACAAACTACACTAGCTCATCTGAGCATTTACATTTGCAATGATTTTTCAGTCTAACTCCCCTGGAGATTTTAATTAAATCGATGCACTAATAATTGTGAATACTCACTCAATGCGGTAGGGTCTTTGGTTTGTCCCTTCTTCCTGATCGGGTGCAAATTAACAGCTGGCACTTGGAGCACCTGGCTTACTCTGTGGGGCTGATGCAAATGTGCTTTAGCTGTTTGGCCTGCCGATCTCATAGGCACTGGAGACATTTCTGATGATTTGGCTGATTTTTTCTCACTTAAATTCTTGGTCACTAATAGAACAGAGTAAGAAATATGTAACTGTGCTTTTTAAGGCAAGGTTATTACCAGTGACAATAATAAACGCATTAAAACCATCTATTTTTTTTTAAGATTATTTTTTATTTGAGAGAGAGAATGAGAGAGAGAGAGAACATGAGAAGGGGGAGGGTCAGAGGGAGAAACAGACTCCCCGCTGAGCGGGGAGCCTGATGTGGGACTCGATCCCGGGACTCCAGGATCATGACCTGAGCCGAAGGCAGTTGCTTAACCAACTGAGCCACCCAGGCGCCCAAAACCATCTATTTTTTAACACAAAAGATACAACAGATTAATCTTCCTAAAAATAACTTCATGTAAGTATTATGGCCTATTAGGTCCTGCAAGATTAGCATCAGGCCAATATTTGCCTCCCTAATACCACACACTCTGCAGCAACTAGATGAGATCCCTTATTTTCTCAAGTCATCCTGTACCTTTTCTTCACAGCACTGATAATTCTAACAATTCAATTACCTGTGCGATTCATCAATTAATGTGTCCCCCTAACCAGGCTCTTAACTAACATGAGAGTAAGGATTGCTTATCTTGCTCACCACTATGGGTATTTGCTGAGCAAGTGAAATTGTTTCAATAGTTACATACAGGAATACCAGAGAACTGTTTTATAAATTCATGGTTAGAGTATTTGACAACAAATGTCAGAATTAAAAACAGAGAACTCTGACTTAAGAAACAAAAGGCTGCCGCCTTTGTATAAAATCAATACGGTAGTCCAGAGGAAAGAACTTTTAATTCTTCAGTTATTGTGGTTTCAACACAGGTCCAATCTCTGTACTCCATGATGTATTTGTTTTTAACATCAAGATAAAAGCCAAATTAGCACGTTTGACAAGTCCTAGCACAGCTATAAGAGTTATCTACCATGCTTTTATTATGAGGCCTAGAGTGTATTTCGAGTGTTAAGAATTAGGAAACATCTCAGAAGTCAAAACAAAGGGACTCCTGTGCAATAATGTGCGGTGACTCCTCAAATGCTTGAATCTAGGCAATTATCTCACCTTTGGGTTCAAGCCATGAAATACACCTTCCCCTTTCTCTTAATACTAATCAATTCTCAACCGACATCTTATTTTAACTGTTGTAGTACAAAGAAAAAAACCCAAGAGACCACTTTAAATATAGATGACTGCCCAAACCCAACCAAATATATACTGATTTATTAGGAAGAACAAAATTCTAAAATTTTTCTCAGCAACCTACTACTGTATAGGCTTGGGATTTAAAAATCATTTGAAAAATGATTAAAAGTAAGAATATTTAAATGCTTAAAAATCATTTATGCAACAGAAACCAAGTAAAGACTCTCAAATCAAATTAAAGGAATATACACTGAATTAAACTCACAAAACTTAAAAGTCCTACAGGTTTACTCATTTTAAATCAGTATTAAATATGTGGTAAAGGACACCATTTAGTGTTATAAGACAGATAAGTCTAGATGGGTGTAAGAAAAGTATGCAGGTGTGTGTGTGTGTGAGGGAGGGAGGGCGAGAGAGAGAATGGATGCAGAGTAGGTATGTGGAATCATTCTGGGCCCCACATTTTAACAATGAGCCAGGCACAGAAGAGATTTTTATGCTCTTGAATATCCCAAATCAGATTTAGGGAACAAAAATAGCAGATAATGAAAACAAAAGATAAAATAAACATTATTTCTGCTTCTGTCTGATGAAAGGTTAAACTGTGTTCCATAACTGTAAGATGATGAGGGTCTATGTTGAGTTACTTGGGGAAAAATAATTTCGATGATCATGCAAAGCAGGGTCAGAGTACTTTAATAAATTAATTATGTATATGGGCTTTGAACAGTAAAACATGAATAAATTTTAAGATTCTGTACACTTTTTCAGTCTTTACTCCTTACATGTACCATTTTCACATGGCTGACACTCTTCTTAATAGGTCACAGGTAGTAAAAAATTTTCCTAGATTACCTTCAAACTCTACATATGTCTACTATTTTTAATGGCCATGTACTATTCCTTGTATTGATAAGGAAACAGTGTGCTTGACTATTCTCAAGCATTTTAGTATCTGCATCATTTTTCATCGGAATACATTCTGCAACATCTTTATATAAAGATTTTTGGGTGCATTATCTCAAAGGAATAACAACCCCAATACTGGACACCTGACACGTAGCTGTAAGGAGTAAATAGCAATGTGTGTGAAGTGCCTAGCATGGTTGCTGCATACAGAAAGCTCTCAATGATTACTAGGTTTTATTACTTCTTTCTCCTAATTTAATAGGATTGACGTAGAATCACAGAGATAAAACATACTGTCAATCCTTAAGTTTTACACGCTCAGGCAAACGGGAGATCTAGAATGAAGAGAACCTTGCTCAAAAAGTAATAAATGACACTCAAACTCTGTCTTCATCCTTTACAGAAGGTGTTTGTTCCATCATACTCTATTCCTCTGGGTAGAAGTGTCCAAGGTATTGTTTTTATAATAACATTTACTGAATACTTGTTACTTTGTACTTTAAAATCCACTGTCATATCTGAAATTTTTAAATCAGTATGTGGTTTTATGTCCACTTTCTCTTTTCTACTCTGGGTCAGCCCATGATGACTACCATTTCCTCCTATCAATTAGGAATGCAGAAACAGAAAATGTGAACCTCCTCCAACTATATTCTGTCAACAGTTTATCAAGTTCTAGACATCCTATTGGAATTTTTATTGGCATAACATTTAATTATATATATTCATAAAATAACATCCACTTATAATTTATTCATCTTTTTTGGTTGTCACAACACAGTGTCTTTTACCATTTTTGATTTCTGCTTTTGTAACTCATCATTTCCTTGGCCCAGATACATATAATATTCTGTTGTTTGTACAGGTATTCTCAGCTTTTAGAAGTCTGCATTATGCCATTTCACTTTTATGAAACACCTGTGTCAATACCAGTTTTCACTAGCCACAAATTTTTTTTTTTATTAACATATAATGTATTGTTTGTTTCAGGGGTACTTGTCTGTGATTCATCAGTCTTACACCATTCACCACGCTCACCATTGCACACACCCTCCCCAATGTCCATCACCCAGCCAGCCCACCCCATCCCTCCCACCCCACTCCACTCCAGCAACCCTCAGTTTGTTTCCTGAGAATGAGTCTTTTATGGTTTGTTTCCCTTTCTGGTTTCGTCTTGTTTCATTTTTTTCCTCTCTTCCCCTATGATCCTCTGCCTTGTTTCTGAAATTCCACATATCAGTGAGATCATATGATTATCGTCCTTCTGACTGACTTATTTCGCTTAGCATAATACCCTCTAGTTCCAACCACATTGTTGCAAATGGCAAGATTTCATTTTTTTTTTTTTTTTTTAGCCACAAGAAATTTAAAGAGGATTCTTGCTTATAGACACAGTGTGAACACCACGGAGAGTAAAATCAACAAGCTATTTTCCCAGAAACTATATTCAGCACCTGAATATCACACCATCATAGCTTTCAACTGGGTCTGTACACATCTGTGCTTTATCCAGATTTACTTTGTGCAACCATTAGCTAGGTATGTCTTAAGGTATCAGAAAAGCTTAAAAGAGGTTATTTTGGGGGGTTTGGGAACACTCAAATTTTTTTTCATATAAATTCATGGTAATTGCTTCTTCCCTTTATGTCATTTTGGCTTACGAAAGGTTTCATAGGAACGCTCTACTTAGGAATAGTTGGGGAAACCTGCAAGTAACTTAAAAAAAAAAAAAAATTGAGAATAGGCTCTTCTTTTGTCCATCACATATTAGAATGCGCCTGACTTTTCTTGTTTTACCTTAGTTACTGACACCTATGATCTCTGAGGGTTTCTTTTCTTTTTTTAAAAAAGATTTTATTTATTTATTTGAGAGAGAGAAGGAGAGAGAGGGAGGGAGGGAGGGATAGCACACACACACAAGCAGGGGGAGCAGGAGAGAGAGAAGCAGGCTCCCCGCTGGGGCTCGATCCCAGGACCCTGGGTTCATGACCTGAGCCAAAGGCAGGTGCTTAACTGACTGAGCCACCCAGGCGACCCTCTCTAAGGGTTTTAATTAAATTTCTTGGATTTTCTAGTTGGTAAGTTATATTATCTGTGAGATTTAAAGAAGGTAAAAATTTCACTTATTTTTATTCTTCTTTTAGTGGTGAAGGTAAAAATGTTCTCAAACAGAAGGGCTCCTCTATAATGTTCCAGTTCTTGTAAGAAGACTTTATAATGATTTTTAAAGAAGAACTCTTTATATCTCAATTTCCTGCACAGGGTAATCATTAAGAATGGATGGTATTCAGTATCTGGTTAAGAGATCACTTGATGCTTGGGGTCTATCAGAAATCTTTTGTGAGTGAAAGTTAATTTTCACGGGACTTCAGCTTAACTTTAGAGAAATAAACTTCTATTCTGTTCTCTTTGACATTAAGCGAAACCTTGTACGTACAGGTACCATAGGCAGGTTCCCACTGCAATGACATCATCTGAAACTTTTCCTCATCTGTGTCTACATCCAGACTGGAAAGATACTGCTTCACTTTTCTTGCCATCTGGGCATCCTCGTATAGCTTCTTGGCATTAAGTAGAGAACTGCGACGTGCCCTTTTTTTGTGTGCACCTCCTTGAACATCCAGCATGTTCGAGTTTGTGCTGCCTTGACTCAGTGACCTGTAGGGAGATGGAGATCACAATGAGGGGCAGTAAAGATAAGAATTACACATGGCAGACTGAAGATTAAAAGAATTTTGTTCTGTTAATGCTATTGCATGCTGATGCAAATGAGTTAAAAGATGAAGAGCATTAATGCAAAGTAATATGGCACACATGGCTATGTTCTGAGTTTTAAGATTCCGCAAAGTGTAGAATTCAAAAGAATAAGATAACAATCTCCCCTTTCCCCACCCAAAGCAATGAATTCCATCAGATCTGTTTGTGCCTATGCAACCCACGGCAAAACTATGACAAGTAAACTGGCCCAGAGGCCATCCGCACTCTGAAGATACGGCAAGAGCCTGTGTCACAAGTGCATCCTCAGCCAGATCTCTGCACCAGGAGTTTCTAGAGCAGCTCTGCTTGTTTGTGCTGCTTTGAGCATACCATAGCCATCACCATTCCTGTCTATAGCAGGCCCACTCTGAGTATGCTAGCCAATCTTACCAGTAAGCGGATCTTGGCCAAAATTCGAAAACAACCAATAGGAAAAATAAGCATTTATACTCAATTCAATATAGTTAGAGACCAGAAGTACAATAGAAAGCTACTCAATCTTCCATTCACACACGAATGGATTAAGCAATATGTGGATCTAGGACTATCTGGGACTTGGGACCTTTCCTTGCAATGCCTCTGTGATGGAACTGCAAGCCAGGCAGAAATAACTACAATTCAAACAAGCTAACGCTTCTCCCAACTCTCCTCTTTTTGGCAAACCTCACTCTAGAATGACCACATCAAGAACCAATGGAAAATAGGAAATGCAATGCTATTTGTCCTTTCTAATTAGGCTAGAAATGCAAGGTTCTTAAATGATTTTTATTCCAAAATAATAAAGCTATCTATGGGTTTTCTAAATTACCCTCATTTTAATCCCCAAATATTCTAAATAGACCACAACCATAGAACAATTTGTTCTTCAGTGCTCACATACTATTTAAAACAAGACACTAGAATCCTAATGTTTTCTTGGTAAATTAAGTGAAACAAAGTTTTGAAGTGTTACAGTATTTTTTCCTTTCACTATTTTAAGATCTTTGGAATAGAATGTGCCTTACGTTTGAAATCAACTTTTGATTGCTACAGGTCAGGCAGAAACTGTGACACGGTTATCACTAGTTTCACACGCAGAAACTTCAAAACTTGCAGAATGGTTGGGAAGAAAATCCAATGACATTAGTGAATTACGCTTTCAATCTCCAGTAACTAAATGATTATAAGAAGGGAGTGAATCTGACAAGTTCAACAACATTCCCAAAGCAGCAGTCAAAAGGAGGGTAGCTCTAAGTATCTGCAAGCCCAAGCCAAGAGTCCAGCACCAGCAGCTTTTACTTCTTTAATGGCTTGTTTTAAGAAATAATGCATTACCAACACACGTGATGGCACAAAAGAGAATACTGTGCAGGGTAAAAAACTCCCAGAAACTAGTCACTCAGAAGACTCATATTCTAAATACAAAGAAGTCTGAGATCTAAATAAACCAATTTCATTTGCTCACATTTTTCTTTTAATGGATGTAAAAGGGTGTTATGTGATAAAAATACATATCTAAGTTTACATAAGAGCTCTTTTAATAAAGTAAAAAATATTCAGCGCTAAGAAGGCAGTGAAGTAATTTTTCTTAGTGGTACATCAAATAATGGTGTGTCCAACAACTGAAGATGTCTTAGGTTCAAATAAATGCAGTAAAATCAAGGGCCAACTTTTAAGAGCAAATTTTAATACGAATATTTTAATAAGTTTTCCTTCGCTGGTATCAAAAAAAATGGTGTCTACAAATCTAGGACACACAAAATTCTAATAACTAATAACACTGTAATAAATGACAATAAAATGTCTTCTAAACTCCTTCCAAAACAGAAACCACCATGATGTAAGAATAGAAATACTTAGCATCTGCAAAAGCATCATACAATGCAACCCTAAAACTGAACAATGAATATGTTACTTAAGTCATTCAACACCCCAAATTCCCACTAGGATGTACTGACCAATATTCTTCTTCCTAATAGTAATGCCACGAACCAATTTCTATTTTCGGTGAGAAGAACCAGAAAAGACCAAGACATAAATGTGGAATACAGAAGAAAACACATGAGAAACACAAAGAGAAGGGAGAACGTAGAAGGAAATTCAAGTTCACCAAACTTCAACAGAAAACAAGATCACAAATAAGACAAGACTCTAGTTCAAGTTAAGTGGCTCACAAAAAATCCTTCTGTCATGTAATAAGAGCAACTAACTTCATGATTCACTATAGTCTTAAAATAACAAAACCCTTCATTCACAAAAACCATCTCTTTCTTCATCTAAAAATGAAAGGGCTACATAGATGATTTATAATGTCCTAAACATTCTATGATTCTAAATAGATATCAATGTAAAAGCAGAGATCTGAACATACCTGAACAAAAAAAGGTGGCAGTTTCTGATTGTATTAGGGTTTGTTTTGTTTTTGTTTTTTGTTTTTTTTAAAGTCAACTCTACTCCCAACTTGGGCTTGAAGTCACGACTCCAAGATCAAGAGTTGCATATTCTACAGATTGAGCTGGCTAGGCACCCCTGATTGTATTAGTTTTAAGAGAGAAAAGGGAGTCTCTTATTAAAAATGTTATATTATGTCTCATGGTATTAGTGGCTCTGATGAATTAAAATCATCTTCTATTTCAATTATTTACTAACTGAATTTTATAGTATAGTTTGGATAAGGGCTGCCTCTTTTTGGAAAATTGTAACATAACCTTTATAAACAAACTTCATCCATTTCTATTGCATTTTTAAAAAAATAAAATATGGCATTTAGAGAAACTTATTTTTAAAAGTAGGCTCCACATCCAATGTGGGGCTTGAACTCTGACCGTGAGATCAAGAGTCACATGCTCTACTGACTGAACCAGCCAGGCACCCCAAAATATGACATTTGAGAATAAGAAAATGGCATGGACTCTGGAATCAGACTACCTGGGTCTCAATCCACTATTAGTGAGCTCTAAGAATTTAGACCAGTCTATCTTCCCCATCTGCAACATGGGAATAACAGTATTTATCTCACAGGGTGGATGGAGATTTCAGTAATTCATTTAAAGTGCTTAGAATAGTATATGGCACATAGCAAGCACACACCAAATATGTACTATCATCATCATTTAACTGACCCTGCTAAATTAAAATCTGTAAGGGACTTATGGGATATCAACAATGACAAAGAAAAGTGGGGGGGGGAAGCTAGTTCTTATCACTACTTTCACCTTGTTAGCAAAAGGCATTTGTCAGGAATGTAGGTTGACAGGGTTAATAGAACGCATGCTATTTTATGTGCGTGCATTAATGAACAGGATGCAGTATATGTTAAGAGTCGTACAATCTTCATTTCAGTTGCATTCATCTCTACACTTACCCCAGACTCCGCCACCTCTTCTTCCTGTAAGCAAGAGCCACAAACATTGAAGCATGGGTTTGAATAGGAAAGCACAGAAAAAAGACAACAGTTGAGAGTCAGAGAAACTATGGAGACAGAATAGAACAGAAAAATTTTACCAAGAAAAAAATGGTAGTTAACAGTAAAATGACTTTAATGGAATGCAGAGGGGTCAAATGAATTATGATATGTACCGAAGGCCAACAAACCCACAATATTCCTTAAAATATTTTTTTAGGCTAATTATATTTCTAATATTGAATCCTTATCATAGGCTTATGTTAATAAGAAACTTAAGAAAAAACATGTACTTACTATAAATTGTGAATTTAAAGTTTTTAGGGAAGGAAACCTTAAATTAAGGAAGAGAATTTCTGAATATTTTTTTGAAAGGTTTTGGGCCACTCATTTAAGTGACAGGATGAAATTACGAGGAACATAAAGATTTATGTCATTTCTAATGGCAGAAATTTCTGACAAGGCACTTTACAAGAAATGTTGACCAGCAAATTGACTTAAAGTTTAAGTAAAACTATAGCATCAGAATAAAATACTGCATATCCTTATACTCCAATTAGACCAAATAAAGATTGCTTATTTTTATTTATTTTTGCTCCCCACCGGCCTCAGTGTGCCAGGCCTGCACCCACTAAGCTCCAGCTGCAGGTGGCCCAAGACTCTGTTTTTCAGTCAGCAAACTGATTACTGTTAGAATAAAAGAGGTTACTTTGTCCACACTAGATAATATACACCACAAAATGGACAATTATTTGCTTAAAGAAAGAGTACATTTCAGTACTGGCTGACAAAGAAAACGGATTCAGGAAAATTCAGTCCATTTCTATTTGTCCAATCTAATTATAAATGTTTCCTTTTCCCCTACACTATATTCTACTTAACCCAGGCCATTCCACATAAAACAGCCAAGTTTATTAATTTCCTCCTTAGGTTTTTCCTCCTTTGCTCTTTTTTGAAGCACAGCTGGTACTAATTATTTACTGGTCTGGTAGGGGCACAAATTCATTATGTCTCAGGAACAAGGCTGCTAACATAAAAATGGAGGTCCACATAAGACAACAGGGAGTGGTGGGACCACTGGACAGAAACATGCAACAAAAGCAAAAACTTAAAGAAACAAACAAACAACAAACCCTCCTCCAGGTTTGCTTTGGTCCCTGGTTCTTAACTGTTTTCTGCTTCCAAACTGTTGAGCAACAATGTATCTCATTACAGGTAGTGTTTCTTAAGGGCAGAGTGGGATGGCTACCGAAGAGGACAGGTGACACAACCCTTCGTCTATACTCTGAAGATCTCTACACTACAGCAACCGTCGGATCAATTCCTTACAAAAACAGACTCCTTCAACAGTAATTGAAATAAGACAAAACAAAAAACCTACCCAAACACACACTGATTCTTTAGTTACAAAAACTCCACCTCTGATTTTTAAAGAAACAAGTGTTTTTGTTTCCTTCATAGACCATTTTTTTTAAGCCAAAAGAAATATGCCTGCCTCTGTTGATATTTCATTTTGAAAAGTCTTATGTACTGAAGCTATACACATAGGCCCGGAAGAAAATAAGTCACCTAGATTAAATCCCCAGTATCTGTTTACACTGAAAATTATAAAAATTACTGAGAACAGCTTGACAACATACTTACTGTAAGTTTTATATAGTCTGAGAAAGACTTTATTATATTAAAAATAAATTTTAAAAAAAGCATTCTTAGAAGTGAATATGGAATACAAATAACATCTTCCATTTCTATTAATGATGGAACATGCTTAAATTTGCGCTTTCTAAATTCTGTTAAAGTACTTACATACAAATAAACAGTAGTACTATGGCTTGAGGAAAAGAATATATTTTAAAAGAATAAAGTATGACTTAAAGAGAAATAGAACTTAAAAATATTCAGTAAAAATAAAAGACATGTGCAGACTAATACTTTACAAATTAGGCTGAAAACCAGATAAAAGCATCCATCCTCTGTGATAACTTCAGTAAGGGTCAGCAATTTTCTTCTATTAGTTATTGAATGTAACAATAACAATACAGAATTATCCACATACTCAAAAAAGCAATACAGAACCAGGGTTCAAATCTCAGCAAAGTACATAATACTGGTCAAGTTACCTAAATGCTCTGAGCATTAGTTTTTTCAAATGTAAAAGGAAACCCCATACCACCTACCTTTAAGGGGTACCATGACAAATGATAACTTGTGACTGACCTGTGTAAAGCATGTCATACAGTGTATAACAAATGGGAGATGGTTAATAAATGATAAATATTATTGCTGTATCACTTGATGCCATTCTAACACTTTTACACACTTCAATGCCATACCTCTGTCGAAACATCATAGCTGGGTCCATGTTAGCAGAAGTCATTCGAACAACTTGCCGGATTTCCTTGGCAATCATTCTTAGCTTCTCAAAATTCACTAAACCATCTACTTTGGAGTCATTTCCTATGAAATAAAAGCAATTCTTTGGTTCTCAATATTAAAATGCCTATATAAAGGTAGCAGAAGTCAAGTTTTTCTTGGAAGCACAAATCAGAACCTTCTTTATCGGGGCGCCTGGGTGGCTCAGTCATTAAGTGTCTGCCTTCGGCTCAGGTCATGATCCCAGGATCCTGGGATCGAGCCCCGCATCAGGCTCCCTGCTCAGCAGGAAGCCTGCTTCTCCCTCTCCCACTCCCTCTGCTTGTGTTCCCTCTCTCGCTGTGTCTCTTTCTGTCAAATAAATAAATCTTTAAAAAAAAAAAAAAAGAACCTTCTTTATCAAACTGCCACTTCCGTTTTGTTTTTTGTTTTGTTTTAAGGGCGGGGGGTGGAAGGGGCAAAGGGAGAGAGAGAATCTCAAGCAAGCTCCATGCCCAGCACTGAGCCTGACTCGGGGCTGGATCCCACAACCTTAAGATCATGACCTGAGCTGAAATCAAGAGTCGGACCATCAGCCGACTGAGCCACCGAGGTGCCCCGCCACTTCTATTTTTAAGAAGCGTATATACAGGGGCACCTGGGTGGCTCAGTCGTTGGGCGTCTGCCTTCGGCTCAGGTCATGATCCCAGGGTCCTGGAATTGAGCCCCGCATCGGGCTCCCTGCTTGGTGGGAGGCCTGCTTCTCCCTCTCCCACTCCCCCTGCTTGTGTTCCTATTCTCCCTATCTCTCTCTCTCTGTCAAATAAATAAATAAAATCTTTAAAAAAAAAAGAAGCGTATATATACGATTCAACTCTGCTCTCAGGTAATGAGCTACTGGAAGGAATTCTATTCCAATGGGAGCAATGATTATGAATAAGCTACATAGCTTCTGAAACCAATTTCAAGGTGTTATTACAGGCATACCTGTAAAATGTGCACCTCCTTAAATCTTACTCTGTAGATGCTCAGCTCACTCTCAGGCAGGTACCTGCATCTGCCCTTTCAGACAGCAGGGGATAGCACCTGAAAACTTAGGTTTTAGCCAGGGGTCGTAAAGAGTGACCTATGGGCTTAATTAATCCAGTAAGTTTTCTCTGATTTAAAATACTTTTAAAAATTGTTAAATGAGTTGTCAACATTTAACAAGTAAAAGATATCCCCTGAAAACTTAGGACTCTTCTTAAAAAAAGGGACGGTTCTAGTGGAGGGATTAAGGAAGAGTAAATGTTTTCCCAAATCACAATTATTAGTTAAAATTAAGAGGTGGCTGGCTCACAGAGGAAATACTTTCTAGCCTGCCATTCACCTTCTTTTTCCAAAATGTGAATTTACAATTCTTACTTTCATCAACTGACACAAATTTGCTTGCCTAAAAGTTCCATAATTTTTATTTCTATTCTGATAATTGGACTCTGAGGAAAAATTCACACAACCTTCAAAATGGTCTACTTTTCTTTGAAGAGAGCAGGTATGAAACCAAACTTAGCCCATCTGATGGCTAAGTTCAGACTACAAGGCAAAAAAATGTATGTGATTGTCTATAGTAGTGTTTCTTTTTCATGCCTGCCTTGAATAGTTAGTGTGACCGCACTTATCTACTGTGGTAGCCCCTGAGATGCCTCTGTGGAACTCCCAAGTCCCTAAAGACAAGTTTAAGAACCTACTGGGTCTGAAACACAGCACGTTCTCCCTCCTCAGAGTAAACAGAACCTATACATTGAAGATATATGAGTTGTTCAGGGCTTCAACATGTGAGGTGGAAACAAAATAATCACCAAAAATACTTTCAAGTCACATAAACCTGTTTTGAGGGAGCAAGTCAGAAAAATATATTTAAAGTCTATCATAGTATTTCCTTATGAAAAAGGAGTGATAATGAAAGAAAGGGCAGTAAGATTAGGTAATTACAACAACCCTTCTGCCAAGAATAATTAGAAAATTTGAGCAAAAACAGAAAAGCCAGTTATTTTAGGGCATCAAAAAGCTATTGAGGCAGTGAAGATTCAGAAGAGGAATGAAGATCTGGGGAAGGTTTACTATTTCCCAGTGCTTGATCCTAGGGGCATTATTGATTCAGAAAAGGCAGATGATGAGCCTAAAAAACTAAGTAGTACCACCCTGATTTATGAGGTTAGAAGAAAATAACTTAAGTCCTGGTAAACCGCCAAAGCTTTGGATTGGGATCCTGAAGGGCTATTCTGGGATTAAGGATGAACTAAATGTGACTAGGATACAAGTTCAGTGTTAAATTATCTCAAGATGTGAAAATGGATTAAGGTGATTGTGGATTGCAAGCACACCTGTCTGGCAAAAGCAAGCTTTAATTTCTCTGGAGGAATGGGACATCATCCGAAATCTCAGATTATTTCTGTAATTTTTTATACACAACATACATTTGACCAAAAATAACCAGGGCTATCAGGAGAAGAGACAACACGAATTAAATGCAGGTGGAGAAAAAGACAACAGAAAGGGACCCACAAAGGATGGAGTTATTAGACACAGACTTTAAAATAACCAAGTTGAATATGTGCAAAGATACAGAAAACACTGAGAACTTTGGCAGAGAACATAAGATAAAAAAAAAAATGTAAATTATAAACCTGACCAAAAAGGAAAAAAAAAAAACAACTCACATAACACAAGAACTGGAAGTAGGAACTCACTGACGTATTTAATAGTAAAAAACACATAGTTGAAGAAAGAACTGATAAATTGGAAGAAAATATCCAGAATGAAGCCTGGTAAGACAAAAAGGTGAGAAACAGAGAAAAGAGGGTATGAGACAACAGAGGAAGTCATCAGGTCTAACAAAGGTGAAATTAAAATCCCTAAAGTAGAGGTTCGAAGAGGAAAGGTAAAAAATTTGAAGATAAAATGAATGAGAATTTTCAGAACTCGTGAAAAATATCAAAACACAGTTTTCAAGACATCTTACAAACAAATCAGGACTAAAACAATCAAAACCCAAAATGCCACACCTAGTTACACCATAGCCAAACTAGAGGAAAAAAGAGACAAAGAGAAAATTATAAGGCAGCTTTTGGGAAAAGCGCAAAATACAGTCACAGGCACAGCAAGTAAGATTGACAACTGATGTCTCAATATCAACAATGAAAGCCAGGACACAATGGAATAGTCTCTTAAAATGTTCAAAGAAGACAAACGCCAACCAAAATTATGCCTTAAAAATGAATATGAAGTGGCGCCTGGGTGGCTCAGTCGTTAAGCGTCTGCCTTCGGCTCAGGTCATGGTCCCAGGGTCCTGAGATCGAGCCCCGCACTGGGCTCCCTGCTCGGCAGGAAGCCTACTTCTCCCTCTCCCACCCCCCCTGCTTGTGTTCCCTCTCTCACTGTCTCTGTCAAATAAATAAAATCTTTAAAAAAAAAAAAATGAATATGAAGTAAAGACATTTTGAGATAAATGAAATTAAGATATTTCATCAGCAGCAGACCGGCACTTAAATAAATAATAGTGTTCTAGCAAGAAAAAAACCCCAACCACATGGAAGCGTTGAAATGCAGAAAGGAATAAGAACAGTAACATCATCATCTAAATACTGACCTTACTAAATGATAGTATCATATGGGAGTTCAAGGCATGACAACAACTGCATATAAACTGGGATATGAATAAATGGAATTTAAATAATCTAAGTTCTTTGCATTGTCCGATACACCGAAAAGTACTGATGAATATTAACCTAATACCAATTATAATGCCTAGTGTAACATGAGAAAAATAGTAAAATAGTATATAGTTAGTAAGTTACTTTACTAGAATACCATACACAAAAATTAATTCAAGAAGATTGTAGATAAAACATGGTAAAAGATCACTAAGTTAGGCTTTTAAAGCTAAGAACGTGCTGTTCATCAAAAGATAACCTTAAGAGACTCAAAAGGTAAGTCATATTATACCCAGGATTTATAAGAAATACTTAAAAATATATTAAACAGACAACCCGATAAAAAGAGTACACAAGAAACCTGAACTGATAATTGAGCAAAAAAACCCACATAAATATATAAAAGGGTGCTCAATCTCATTAGTAATTAGGGAAATGCAAATTAAACCACACCACTACTGAACTGGGTAAAAATAAGAAGACTGAATTTACCAGGTGTTGATGAGGAACAATGAGCTCTAATAACACTGGCAGTGTTGCACTTAGGTACATAATGCCAACTCTTTTCTAAAGTTGATTATATGAGTATCAGATCCATAAATGCCACCTTGAATGATATGAATACTCAAGGCAGCATTATTCATAATAGGTGAACAGTGGAAAACTATCGAATGCTTATCAGGACAATGGAAAAATCCACTGTACTGCATTCAAGTAAGAGAACACTAGTTTTGAAAGTCAAGTGCAGCTATAGTCAAAAACATGGAAAAAATCTCACAAATCTAATGTTGACTAATGTAAGCCAAAAACCAAAACCAAACCAAGACATACACTCTGTAATTCCTTTCAACAACAGATAAAACTAAACCCCAGTATTAGGAGTCAGGACAGTCATTACTTTCGGGGAAGAGAATGAGGGTGGTAATTAGGAAGGGGCATTTTGGGTGTTTGCTCTACCATAATTCATTTTTCACTGGTTTTAGGCAGTTTTCTGTGAGTTATTAATTTAAAAACAAAGTTGGAAGGAAAAATGTTACTAAACAAGATAACAAATATGATCAAACAGTCTGATCTGGGTGTAAGTGAAATCTATGTTTGAATGCACAGGGTAAACACCTAAATTTGTTTTTGTCAATAATGTGGGTTTTGAATTAGAAAAGTTGCTGCATTTATAATTAGGTAAAGCTTTAGTGACATAAAAGGCTGAAAAATATATTAAATATAATAAATCACAATTCTGTCAAAATAATTGAAGCTAAACATGCTAATTTTCAAATAACTTAAATACCTTCATGTAGAAATGTCATATCTTTCTTGACAACAGGGAAGAGTGGAATAATTGGAGGCTGCATGCTTTGACTACTAAGAATATTTCTATATTTTGCCATGTTTCTAGATGGATCAAAAAGGTCTTGTAGATCTTGGAGGTGTTTCTCATACTTGCTTGGTAATTTTTCCCAAGTACCTCTGAGTCGTGCTACAGATGCCAGGTTCAAGCCACTGCCAAAGATGAGAATAAAAACATTAATAAGGGACTTGGAAGAGAGAGAAGACTCAGGGCAACAAAGCGTATACACCAAATTCCTATAATAAAACTAAAATAAGTAGGGACATATTTTTAATGTGTTGAAACGAACAGAGCAGAACCATGAAAAAAAAAATCAAAGGGACTCTTTGATCTGACAATAAGGAAAACTGCTTTCAGAGAACTATATATATATGTTACTTGCCTGTATACCTGTTCCTTTATTTTACAGCTTGCATGTATGACACAAACATAGTATTTCCATAAAAGAGACATTTAATGTAAATAAAAAAAAAAACCTTCAAATATCACAATGTTTTTGTTTGTTGTAGAAATAACTTTATGGAGACATTATCTAATTGAAAGAGGTTTAAGTAATGCCGAACACAAGTGCTATAATAATTGAGGCAAGTTCTAGGGCTGAGGCAGACTTCTCTTCCTGAGATTTTGTTTTTTCATATCCCTGATTCAAATACTTCCCTATCTCTAGGTTCTAATCCTGTTCCCCCAAGGCCTCCATATATTCACTGTCTTCTTTCTACAGGATTTTAAACTCAGAGAGCCTGAGCTTGAAAAACATGCATGTCCATTAGGCTGCAGCTCCTCCCTATCCTTTTTTGTCTATACTACCACCCAACCCCCAGGTAGGCTGCCAAATGAGTAGTGCATATATAATGCCTCAATTTTCTTACCAGTTAATCCTTCTTTTATACTTAGCCACCTGACTTTTAGGGACACCACTGTACTTAAAATGTTCTCTTGACTTCTGATTTTAAGGTGTGAAGTCAAGATATCTTTGTTCCCTTTGCCTCTCAGAAATCATCCCAAATGACCAAATGAGTAACAGAAATACAAATTTCACCTCCAGTTCAACTAAGAGATATATGTAACTCCTAAACACATTAAAAGGTTGCCTCAAAATAGTCAAGGTCAAATAGGAGAATGGCAAATGCTGGAAAAGAATGTCTGTAGCTGAAGGTCTCAACGAAAGCTGGTCAAGTTCTCCAAAGCAGGCAACTCACCCTGAAGGCAAGAACACCAAACCCCTATTTGAAATAACAAAGCAATCTACAGGCTGATAGAATTAGGCCGGGGCTGGACCATATCCTTTACCAAGGAGTGCCAGAGAAAGTACACAGAGTGATACAGTATCTTGATGAGAAGCAGTTTAACAGACCCGATAGAAGGCAGAAACTCTGAGCGGTAAGCAGCACTAAAACTGCCAATCTCCATGTGGTGGAAAGAAATAAGGGGTAAACAATTCACATTCAAGCTCAATTCCTGCTAGCCTGGAATAATGCCCTAGATCCTCTTTCAAATGAACCTCCTGCAAATACTTGGTACAGGAAAACTCATGTCATTCAAAAAGAAAAAAATAAACACAGAATCTATAATAAGCTGCAACAAGGAAAAACAAAGAACACAAAGAAAAATGTTGCCACCAATCAAATAAAAACTGGGACAAATCAATGACCTAGCCATGATTTCAAATGAATTAGTAAAATAAATAAAGAGCTTAATGGAGTGATATAAAGAGCTTAAGGAAAATACGGTAAGAGAAGTTGATAAAAAGAAGTTAACTAGTAAAGTTCAGAAAAGAAATGGAATACAAAACCAACACAGAAATGAAGGCTACCTTGGAACCTACAAAAGAAAAAAAAGAAAAAGACACTGCTACAACCTGGTGCAAGTGATGTCGAGGGGAGGATTAACAAAAGCAGTCAACGGAAATGGACACAGCTAAAAAGGATTGGAGAGAAAATAATGGATATGAAAGACAAAGGAGATAATAAAATGTTCAATAACTGGTATCCTTGAAGAAGGAAAAACAAAAGAACTGAAAAACTATTCAAAGGTAGAACTTGAGAAAACTACAGAAACAAATCAATCTACAGAGTGAATAAGCACCACAGTTCTAGAGAGCTAGATACAGAACTGAAGAGATGTAGAAACACAGATATAAAGGTAAATGACTTCAGAGACAAAGACGGTATGGGAAATAATCTCAGAAACTGGCAGCTACATAAAATGCTAGTTATGGAGCCAATGTCTAGGAAGTTACCAAGAAATAACCCATGAGACAAGATTTTTAAAGCTAAAGTGTCACTGAAGTTCCCAGACAAAAAATAGACATTTTGAATATATTCAGCAAATAGAATTTCCACAAGACCTTCTTCATGAAATGACTAGATGACAAATTTCAACCAAGATTTGATTAGAGAATTTGATTAGAGAATCCATCAGCAGATGACAGAGTATATTGGAGGATACAGAGAAGATAAGCTTTAGAATCCTCTCACAAGAGGGAGGGGCGCCTGGGTGGCTCAGTCTGTTAAGCGTCTGCCTTTGGCTCAGGTCATGATCCCAGGGTCCTGGGGTCGAGCCCTGTGTGGGGCAGGGAGCCTTGCTTCTCCCTCTGCCTCTGCTGGTGCACACACTTTCTGTGTCAAATAAAATCTTTAAAAAAAAAGAGAAAGCATGGAGCAGGTTTATCCATGCAATATCCAAGAAAGTCTTAGAATCTATAGCAAGACTGCTAAAGTTTCTCCCCCGCCCCTGCCCCACTCACTCTAAAGACTGCTAGTAAAAACTGGGAGAGGGTGACTGCTACTTCAAATAAGAAAAACAAAAACAAAAACAAATCAGGGAACCATGACATCACCAAAGTTCACAATAATCCTCTAGTGACCAAACCTGAAGACATGGAGATCTACAATTTACCTGATAAAGAATTCAAAATAGCTGTTTTAATGAAATTCAATGAGCTACAAGAAAATTCAGAAAGATAATTCAATGAAAACAGGAAAATAATACATGATCAAAACGAGAAATTCAACAAAGATACAGAAATCACAAAAAAGAACCTTACGGATATTTTGGAACTAAAGATTTCAATAAACAAAATAAAATAAAATGTCACAGAGACCATCAACAGCAGAGTAGATGAAAGAACAGAGAATCAGTGAAAGAAAGAATAGGAACTTTGAAGTAACCCAGTTTGGGGGGGGGGTGCGGAGAATGAACAGGAGTGAAAGAAGCCTATATGGTCCATGGAAGCACCAAAAACCCCAAATATCCGAACTACTGGAATTCCACAAGGGGAAGAGACACAGAAGGAGGCAGAAAGCCTATTTAAAGAAATATGGCTGAGAACTTTCCAAGCCTAGAAAGAGATCTGGACATTCAAGTTTATGAAGCTAACTGATTAACCCCATTATTTCAATTCAAAACAACTTTCTCCAAGACTCACTGTTAATAAAACTGTCAAAAATTAAAGACAAAGAAAATTCTAAAGGCAGCAAAAGAAAAAAAGATGAAAACCCGCAAAAGAACATCCATTAGGCTGTCAGCAGATTTTCTTGGCAGAAAACTTACAGGGCAGGAGAGAGTGGAATGATATATTCAAAATGCTGAAAGAAAAAAATTGTCAACCGAGGACACTATCCGGCAGTTATCCTGAGAAATGAAGGACCTTCCAGGAAAACAAAAGCTGAGGGAATTTATCACCATTACACCTGCCTTACAAGAAACACTCAAAGGAGTTCTTTGAAATGAAATGATGTTAAATAGTAACATGAAAACATATAAAAATACACATCGTGATAAAGTTAAATACATAGTTAAATTCAGATAACTTTTAAAAAAAATTTTTTTATTAATTTATTTGACACAGAGAGAGAGAGAGCACAAGGTGGGGGAGCGGCAGAGGGAGAGGGAGAAACAGACTCCCCGCTGAGCAGGGAGCCTGATGTGCAGCTCTATCCCAGGACCCTGGGATCAAGACCTGAGCTGAAGGCAGACGCTTAACCGACTGAGCCACCCAGGCGCCCCAAATTCAGATAACTGTCAACAGTATAGTATGATGGTGCCTTAACCACTTAACTAGAGAATAAAGCTTAAAGGACAACAAAATGACAACAGCTACTATCATTTGTTAAGGAATACACAATATAAAAAGACAAATTCTGACCCTGAAAACATAAAAGGGCGGGGAGTAAAAGGGTAGAGTTTTGCATGTGACTAAAATCGGTATCAGCATGAAATAGTTACGTTTCATGTAAGGCGCATGGTAAGTAACCTCAAGGCAAATACCTACAGTAGACTCACAAAAGACAAAGAAAAGGGAATCAGAGCGTTTCAGCACAGATGACCATCAATTCACAAAAACACAAGAAAGTAAAAATGAAACAGGGGAACTAAAAAACAGCCAGAAACCAGGAATGGGGCAGTAATAAAAGTTCTTACAAATAATCAGTCTAAATGTAAATGGATTGTCTTCTCCCATCAAAAGGCACAGAATAGGTGGATGAGTTAAAAAACAAGACCCAACTACATGCTGCCTACAGAAGACGCACTTCAGCTTAAAGGACACAAATAAGCTCAAAGTGAAAGGATGGAAAAAATAATCCACGCAAACAGAAACCAGGAGAGTAGGGGAAGCTAGATTTATAACAGACAAAATGGACTTTAAGCCAAAAATGGTAACAAAAGACAAAGGAGGTCATTATATAATGATAAAGGGTCAACTCATCAAGAAAACATAAAAATCATGAATATACATGTGCCCAACATTTCAGCACATAACCGTATTAAGCAAACAATAACAGAGCTGAAGAAACAGACAACAATGCATCAGTAGGGGACTGCAATACACCACTTTCAGCAACGGATAAATTACCTAGGCAGAAAATCAATAAATGGACTTGAACCATACTTTAGACCAAATGGTCCTAACAAATATATACATGACAGTCTTTTCCCCATTAGCAGAATACACACTCTTCTCAAGCATAAATGGAACATTCTCCAGGAGAGATTATAAAATAAACCACAAGAGTCTTGGAAAATGTAAGACTGAAATCATGTCAAGTATTTTTTTCTGACCACACTGGTGTGAAACTAGGAAGTAACAAGAGAAAATGGGAAAATCTACAAATAGAAATTAAACAACACTCCTTGAACAACCAATGGGTCAAAAAAAAAAAAAATCAAAAGGGAAATAACTATCTCTCAACAAACGAAAATGGATACACAACATAACAAAACCTATGGGATGCTGCAAAAACTATTCCCAAGACAGAATTTTAGTAATAATTTTCTTTATTAAGCAAGAGAAATTATCCACCTTTTCACATCAAAGAACTAGCAAAAGAAGAAACTCAGCCCGAAGTTAGGAAAAGGAAGGAAATAAAGATCAGAGCAGAAAGGTATCAAATAGAGGAGAGAAAAATAAAAAAGATGAAACTGAGAAGTGGTTTTTCGAAATGATTAACAAAATTGACAAACCTTTAGCTAGACTAAGAAAAATAACTCAAATAAATATTACTACCTAATTCCAGGCAGAACTGATTCACTTTTGTCACCTCTGCTGTAAAGTATGTTATATGTAAAGTTATATATAACTTTATATGTAGTTATAGTCTTTGATATACTTCAAAATATGAGAAAACAAAGCAATTAATTTTACAGGAACTACTGAATATGTGTAATGTGTATAATAAAATGTTCTTTAAAACAAAACAAACCTGAGGCACCTGGGTGGCTCAGTCTGTTATGCGTCTGCCTTCGGCTTGGGTCATGATCCCAGGGTCCTGGGATCGAGTCCCACCATCAGGCTTTCTGCTTGGTGGGGAGTCTGCTTCTCCCTCTACCCCTCCCCCCCTGCTTCTGAGCTCTCTCTCAAAATATTTTAAGATAAATAAATAAACCAAAACAAACCCTTAACCAGATACCCATATTTCCTTCTTTCAAATCACTTTCCTTGGCTTTAATGACACAGTCGTAACTGTGCTGTTCTATTATTTCTTGTATTTGTCCCTTCTTTGGCTTGGTCACCCAGGATGGTCACTGGTTATGGCTCTTAAACCCTCTACCATTTATTTTTTACACTCTCTTTTTACACAAAGATCTCTCTTGTCAATCAGGTTTTTTTTCACAGACTACTCCAAAACTGAGCCTGTAACTTTCAAATCCTCTAACTTTATCCTTCCTACACAGTTTCAATTTCTAGCCTTCCAAGTGTTTATCAATGGCATCTTTGTTCCCTTGTTCTAGACTCAGCTGTTAAAAACAGTGAAGGTAGGTGGCGTGATTCCTGCATTTTACAGATGAAAAAAAAAAGGTCTTCAATTTTCTACTGACACACTGCTACTACACTGGAGAGTCAGGACTCCGACACAGGTGCAGCTGTTCTAAAGGTTAATGCTCATCTCTGTTCAATACTCCTAAAATCTAACAAACAAAAACCACACAAACAAGAACTCCTTCTAAAGCGTCTATTTCAAGTGCACCCACTAGTTACCTTCATAAAGGAGTTTCTTATTACCATGACAGATTTATGATTATAAAGATTCCAATTCTACCTCACGTGAGTCTAGAACAAGTCATAATTAAATTCTGTGGGGGGCATACATAGATGGGATTAAGATGTAATTATGCTGCTATATATACAAGCAAGTGGTCTTATAAATGGACAAAACTACAACTACCCTCCACCTTTAAAATTAGACTTCCTTTAAGAGGAATCCCTTTACTGATCAGCACTATACTAGGGGAGGATCAGAAAATACATTACCTAGGTTAGGCAATCTAGCCAATCATAGTGAGTGGGGGGAAGGAAGAATCCCGGGACATGTAACCATCCACACTTCCTGGACTTAGAGACTGTGAATTTTTATAATTCTAATTCTACAGCCTATTGTGCTTGAGGAACAATACATCCAACGATACCTCGTGCAGTGTCGGTTAAACAAATCAGTACTCACCAAATGGCTGCCATTATTATTATTATTATTTGTTGTTGTTGCTATTGTTTCAAAATAGCAATTTCAGGTTGGAGCAGTGATACCAGACTGTGATTTTTCAGTGCCAAATCACAGTGATGCACAGTATAGAAGTCTGATGATAAAAACCACCTGTTGGCCATATATCCAAAGAGGGTATAATCCATTAAAGGGGGAGAAAGGAAGAAAAATGGGAAGGCAATCAACCCTATTCAGCAAAAGAAATGTTTAAATGAAAGATGGCAGAAACAGAAAGTGAAGAAGCCACTATCACCAGAATGGAAAATATATTAAATCTAACAATACTTTAAAAGTCTATTAATTGGACTTTTCTTCTAGTCACTTAACACCTACACAAAAAATCAGCTTCATGTCTAAACTATACACAAATATTTATACAAACTTACCTTATTATTGCAAACATGGAATTGAAGTTCTTACATTCTCGACAATGAAGTGCAATTTTAATAAAATGCTTAATAATCTTCATTCGTTTCAGCTGATTCGATTCAGTTAAAATCTCTGAGGCAACCCAGAATGTTTCCTGGTTAACAATGTCCTCAAACTCTTTTAAGTGAGTATTTCCTGTTTTGGAATCTAACTTAAAAAGGTCATCAATGTATTCAGTAGGCTCAATATTACGAAACAAATCAAAGTCCCTCATTGACAGCTGAGTGGCCACCTCAATGGTACTGAGCTGCAGCATGGAGAGTTGGCTTTCCTTAACTAGTTCTTGAGCATCTTCATCTGAACATAAGGTTTCTGTTTCCATGTTATTTTTTAAATAATACCTAAAAGAAAGAAATTGTTTTTATAAGTCATTTCACATTTATAAAGAGCACTTTCTTTATGACCGTTGTCAAAATGTCATTATATGGTTAATAACATTTTGTCAAAAACATCATAATATTCATTTAAAGTTGAAATGGAAAATTAACATTGTAAATGAAAAGACTTTAAAGAAGTTATCCTGTTATTCCACCATTTTACATGTATTACTTTAAAGAGTAAAAATAATGTTGATAATGCTGTGAACTTAACCATTTTATTAAACTACTCACATAATGAGTCAACAACTGTGTGTGTGTTCTTGAGGATAAAAGCTCTAAGAGGCCTATATGAAGGAAGCTGATGCATAGTAGATATTGTATCAGTATTTGTTTATGGACAGCATGAACATCTGATTCAAGACTGTTTACACTCCTATTCAGAAGTTGTTCTTACACTCATTTTCTTCATTTCTGAATTCCCAAGAGAAGCAAAGAAGAATAAAACCGGTAAAGGAGAGGAAAAACCTCTCCACTAATGAGTTCTCCCTTGTTAAATACAAAACTTCATTCCAGCAAATGGCACTGATCAGCAACCATAAAAGAGACCTTCATTTTCTTATTTTTACACCAACAATTCTTTAACATTTAAAAGTTAAGGACAAGTTTCGCAGCTGGGAAATATCTTGTATAGGGCTGGTGTTGGGGACAAAAAAGGTAACATACTTGTCATCTGTGGCTTTCAGTTCATTTTTTTCTAATACACAACTTGATCCCAGCCCAAGTTTGTGTCCATCTATTTTTGATTATCAAGCAACTATACCTTGTTTTCTTCTGTGTGCATACTGTTCACATGCCTAAAAGAACACTATAAATGTGTTGAGACCCATTACACTAGTTAATAAAATTATATCTAACACTTATAGGGTGGGCTAACTCATTCATTCTTATAACATTCCTATGTGGTAGGTTCTATTATTATCATCCCCATTTTTTTAAAGAGAAAAGTCAAACAGAGAGAAACCAAAGAACTCGCTCTGGTCACACAGCGAGAGCTGGGACTCACCCAGACTGCTGAGCACTCTGGCTCCAGGGTCTATGCTCTTAAGCACTATGTATAGCTAAATAGCAAGGCAGAGTTAATCCATTCTCTCTTACCAGTAACCATGAGGAGTAGTCATTTTAAGGTTGTTTTTTTTTAAGATTTTATTTATTTATTTGAGAGAGAATGAGACAGAGAGAGAGAGCATGAGAGGGGGAAGGGTCAGAGGGAGAAGCAGACTCCCTGCTGAGCAGGGAGCCCGATACAGGACTCGATCCCAGGACTCCAGGATCATGACCTGAGCCGAAGGCAGTCGCTTAACCAACTGAGCCACCCAGGCACCCCCATTTTAAGGTTTCTAAGGATCTTAACTCTATATACGAATTTAGGCTCACTAAAAAGAACATGTTATTCTCAGAGAAAATCACCAGAGTTAACAAATGTACTATAGAAAAAATCTTCTAGTTGATCAAATAATATTCAAAGCACATTTAAAAATTTTTTTAAAAACATTCTTGGATATCCACAATAGGAAAACTGCTTAGAAAAAAAAACTGTAAAAATTACGCCCTCTTTTGCCCAGAGTACATTTTAGTCACACTAAAAACAAATTTGTAATTTAACACATACATACTCAGATACATATAAAGATATGTATCATTTGGTTTCCTCTCTAAAAAGTGGACTGGACTACACCAGTGGTTCTAAGAATTTGTTTAGCAGGAGGGCTAAAATATTTTAGCAAAATGTCTTCCCTTTCCTTCTCCCACTTTCAGGTAGTCCTTGTGAGTGCTAACACTCTGAGATTCCATTTATATAAATACAGAGAGAAAGCTGAAAAAAAAGAGAAATCCTGCTTTAATTTTAAGAGAAAATTCAGTGACCCTAAGACATGATGTTTCTACACACAATCTTCAAAAACACATCTAGATAAAGGGTCCTAAGGGGTATAAAAACTTTCAGTTATATAATAACTCTTGGAGATGGCAACTACAGCACAGGAAATATAGTCAATAATACTGTAATTAACACTGTATGGTGACTACAGTTTTCATGCTGAGCATGGAGTAACACAGAACTATCAAACATGCTGTACACCTGAAACTAATACATTGTTGCAGGTTAATTATACAATTAAAAAAATCTAGAATTAAGTACATTCATTAATAAGCACATTTACCTTCCATTGAGCTGAATTCTATCAGCTAATTTGGAGAATTGGTCTGGAAGTCTTCTCTGTTTTATGACACCCTCAGGAGTAACAGAAACTTCACAGAGAGAATATGTGTCGGACGCACCCGTCAAACCAAATTCATGAACAGCATGACAAACAACTTCTTTAGCTGTAGTGTCTTTACTGATGATAATGTAGCAACTTTGTTGATCTGCTTTGAAAACTCTTATAACTTGATCAGGAATATCTATATAAAAACAAAAGTGTGCCTTGTTATTTTCAAGACAATTCAACTCTTCAAAAAAGCAATTTAGAACAAAAAGATCCCTCTGGACAATGATATATACCAATCGCTTCTCGGCCTTTTGGCTAAGATCAAGTGTAGACAATGATATATACCTATCTATTTCAGGAGGTTAATAGAAATCACTGTTGCATTTATTGATAAATGAATGTATCTACCTTTCCAGGTGACAAAATACTAACACATGTTCATAGAAAAACAAACACAAAAAGATAAACATTATGATTTGGAAGCCACAATATATTTTATTTATTACAAACTTTGATGTCCTTAAACACTCTTCAACCAAACAATTTTTAAAAGAGGCACAGGACTCCATAATATGTATTTTATATTTTTAAATTATCCAAACCTTTAATGACAGACACTTAGGTTGCATATCTTCTATATAACACTGTGATGACTAATACCTCTTTCCCCCTCCCTGGTAGATAAACCTTTGCAGGCAATCTGATTATTTCCCCAGAGAAAATCTAGAAGAGGGGGGTGTGGGAGGGGAGAAAGAGGGAGAGAGGATTTGCTGAGTTAGAGGGAGGGCAGGCATATTTTTAAGGTTTTTGAAATATACTGCCAAAATATTCTCCAGAGAGGTTATATTATTTTATAATGCTAGAATGTAAAGAGAGCAATTTTAATCACATTCTTATTAAACTGTTCATTACAAATTTTTTTCATTTTGAAATTCCTATGCTTTTCCTCCCTCTAAAAATATGTCATTATCTTACATTTCATTTCTTTGATTACTGGTGAGAGTCACTGCTTTAATGAGCAATTAATATTCCTTCTTTTTAAAAACACTTTTTGATATTCGTTATGCTTTTTCCTACTGAATTATACTAGATACCAACACTCAGTCTACTATACAGTGGCACATGTTTTCCTATTTTTATATTTCTTTAACACAGGAAAGTTTTAAAATATTCAGTGATTTCTGCTATTAGTAGACACATCCTAATTCAAGATATGCACAGTAAGTAATGATATCTCCCTCCCTCATTCTACCTTGTTTTATTTTGTTACACTGCATTGGCTAAAACTTCCCAATGTTCAATATGACGACCCCGGGCTAATTTTTAATAGTATTCAATGTAAGTAAAAAGAAATTTGACAGCATGAACACAGAGTATATTTCCCCCTAATATTTAATATTAATTATAAATATTCTGAATATTAATATCTAATATTTACCAATTTCCTGATAATAAATCATTGTTACAAAAATTTTGTTCTTTAAATTAGTAAAAATGTATTATTTGTGGGGTTTCCTGGTAAGGACTATAATTGGACTGGGAGATTTTGGTGGCTCAAGTAATTATATATGGTTTGTCTAGCACTATCTTATTAGCATTACATACATTACTAACTTTTAGAGATGAAGAAAAATCACAAATTTGTCTCAAAGCCATCTCAAGTACAATTCTGGCTAAAGGAAAGAAAAGAGTAATGAAAGAGATATGGCAGAAGATAATTTCATAGAATAAGGTACTACTCTGAGGCTCATGGCACAAAGAGAGACTCCCAAGACTGGAAGATTCAACTAAGCATATAGGAATGCCTGGAAAACAGAGTCTTAAGTCTTCTACGTTCACTGTCAAGTTGGAAGCAGAAGGCATCATATATTCAGTCAAGTCCCTTTCGTAAGAAGTATGCACCAAATGACCTTTCTTAATGTATGCAAATATTTGAGTCACCACAAGCCTCTTTTTATTTCTTTGCAGTGAGTCAATCCTTAGGGTGCTGATGACATCAGGTCTCTAAACCTACAAGGCTTAACGTCAGACTGTTTTATGATCCACCCAAATCAGAGATGCTTCTCTACTCTTGGCTAGAAAATGTTTTCAAGCAGAGGGAAATTCCAGTTTGTCAAGAGAAAGATAGTGGACAAAAAGTGGAAAACATATCCCCTTGAACTCTATATAAAAAGGTCAAACAACTAACTTTTGTTACCTGTACTGTCCCTATCCTCTTTACAAAAATAGGCCTCAGCTGTCTGGGGCTCTAGAATTGGATCAGTTTACTAGGTGTGTGCCAGCAGGACTGGCTAACCTTGAGGGAAAGGGGAGATGCTCTGACCCCTTCTATTAATTTCTCCAGAGAAATTTATTCACAAAGGCAGACTGGGAATTTGCACACATTTCATTTTCTCTTCTTTTACTTCCAAATACTATTAACATCTTCTGGTAAGGAACTCAGACTTGTATATCTTGCTAAACAGTGTAAAAGAAAGTCATACTCCGTTAAAGCCATTTGTTTCCCATGAGAAGGCCAAACTATTACATAATCACATAAGACGGATCTCAACATCATGAATGGGTACCTCTAGGATAGATCCATAGAAGGGATTATCCAAAGGGCACCCTATTACCTCAACCCTGATTAATTTGTCAAGGTGGTAAGTACCAATCTGGAAAATGATTTGGAAAAACACTGGAGGAAAACATTTCTTTGCACTGTTACCATTGTCACAGTAATATTTTTTCTGTTTTAAAATTGTGACATATAAAACATATATTCTTCACCAACATGTTTGTTGTTAGTAGGACATATATGTCAAAAGTAATACTTAACACAGGGAAGACACTCAAATGTTAAATGATCAGATGAATGGTAGACATGAGGTTAGAATAAAATTGAATCAAGGGAAAATGATCATTTGAAATTTTAGGCATGAAACTAAAATGCACATAAAAATATAACCCCCTATGGAAAAGAGACATTTAAAAAGAATCTTGGAGGACTAGAGCATTTATTAGTCTTATGATTCATATTTCATTAAAAAAAATCTTACATAACAGGTAAACGAATTTAAGGAAAGGAATCTCCAATATCTAGACTTTCAACCCAAAGGCAGAATTTCTAGAATGCTAACTATAATCGTCCTGAATAAAATAAATAACATACTTGAAGGATGCAGGTACTGACCCCAATAATACACTAAAGATGGGACTTTTTTTTAAGTAAGATGATGATGAAAACAAAACCAAAAGACTGCCTCCTGCTCATACTTTAACTGCCAAGTACATACTTGTGGAGTGCTTGTTATGTGTCAACAGTGTTCCAAGTGATGAAGATACAGTAATAAAGGAGATGGGGCAAAGTCTCCACTCTCAGGGACTTGCTCATATTCGAGAGAGTAAGTGGAGGTTCATGGAAAGACAATCCATACGGTTAAGAAGTTGCACTAAGAAAACACAAGGTAGTGGTGCAATGGTAGAGATCAAGGATTAGCACATTTGTTCTCTAAAGGGCGAGATAGTAAATATTTGAAGCTTTGCTGGACAAGAGACAAAATAGATGATATTTTATAGGTACATATATAATAAAGGAGACAATAAATTTCCACAAAATCTTTGACAAAAATTCGGTATTTGACAATACTGCAAACATACAACATGGAAAGATAAACACAGAGATTTAGGCAACACTGTAAACACTCACCAAAAGAGGAATGATTAAATGAAATGTTACCAGCTGTTTAAAAAACTGTGGTAGAACAAACACATTCTGAAGCAGGAAAGTATTCAAGGTATATTGCCAGGTGAGATGGGCTAAGTAGAAGAAAAGTATAGCATATAATTTGGGGTGAAGAGTGGTAAACACATTTTATGTGCACTGAAATTTCTAGAAGGATATATGAATAAACAATAGTTAATTCTGGGGAGTGGAGACTTATATTCTGTCCTTTCTCTGCAGTTTGATTTTTCAAAAATTTTATGTGCCTTTAAAATAAAAAATTAGTTAAAATAACTCAGACTTTAGTAAAACTGAATCTGAAAAATTACTAAATATTAAAGAAATCAAATAAAAGGTTTGTGCTACTAAATGAAAAAGAAGTAAGCAAAAAGGTCTATAAGCAGACTTGAAAAAAAAAAAAATCCAGTTTTACAATCTTTTGGGTCATGAGTTCTTTTAGGCCTAGTCTAGTATTTAGGTCAAAAATTCCTCCAAAACGTAAGTTATAGAGCAGCGTGTACTCTGATTCTAGAACTATAAAAATTTATCTATTCAAAGAAAATGTTGAAAAGAATACACACCAGTTTACACTGGCAAGCTTGTAGAGTGGACAGAAAAGTTCTGGCTCCTACTTTATTCAATTCTGTATCATATGACTTTTTAAAAATAATAAAACACTACACAGAAATTTAGCAATGGAATACCACAGTCGGCTTTCAAGATACTTACAGTAAAAACCAACAGCTGTAGGCAGCAAAAACAAAGCAAAATCACAGAATAGTCAGCAATCAAAAGCAAACTACTATTAACAGTTCTGTAGCTTTGACCCTACTTTCTAACAACTTGACACAAGCAGCATAAACATAGCTGAGATCACCAATAAGTTAATCAGACTTGACTGATGTCACACATGTACTGCAATATACACACATGACATACACAGTGAACCTAAAATTTGGCGCTGTCATATATAATTTAAGGAAAGGATTTTGGAATCAATTGGTAATGAGTATTTCATTCAACATAAACAGCACCATAAAAGTGCTTTCATAAAGGTGCACATTTTGGGGTTTAAAAATATAATTTGTAAGTTAAACACCTATCTTATACGTGCTCTTTTATATTGCTGGTATGGACACAGGCTGCAGACTGAGTTTGCAGACGGACCCTCTCTGAATAGTTTTTATAAGAGCATCTTTGGCTCTTCCATGTTTTCAATGAGCAAACTGTGCAATCAATCAAATTGACTAGCACTTCCTCTTTAAAAAATCTGAATTTCAGTGCAATGGGGCTTACAGTTTCTAAATTTTAGTAAATTCCAACTTCTTCCCTTTGTTCCCCCAGCTAAATCCCCCAACTGACTGCTCTCTGCCCCTCTCCCTACAACCATCCCTTATTTCCTCACCCCCACTTCTAGATATGCCACTGACAAAAATGCAGCCATAAACATCATTTATATCACCTGTCCCTAAATACTCATCTTATGAAAGTATGCATACTTAGTTTGTGCTTTGGTAGTGTAATAATATTTCATTTGTGAACATACTGCTGTGGGACACACACAGAGACATGAAAATAAATTCCCATGCTCCCACTGGAAAGCAATATAAGAAAGACAATGAAAATGTGCTAAAGATTTCTGGGAAAGGAGGGACTGCCTTCCCAGATAACACTTGAGCTATCACGGAACAAGAAAAAATTCATGGGATATGCACGGAGAGAACACCAAAGGCGGCAAACAGCACAGGCAAAGAAATCACAGTTGTGAAGGTACATGCCACACTCAGGAAAGACAGAGGAGGTGAGAGTGGGAGAATGGCAGAAGAGAAGGCTAGAAAGGGGGTTTACAATCATGCTGTGAAAACTGGACACTAACAATTATTACGTTATTGTTGTAATGTTACAAATCCATTCTGCCTTGTCATGATGGGGTTGAGACTCTGCAAACCACATTCTTCTTTGCCAACTGGCCACCTCTTAAGTTATGCCAAAAAGGGGCATCAAAAGCAACTGTTGGGTTAAAGGAAGAAAAGCCTTGCTGCTTTATGTTTCTTCTTGTGGGCTTTTTCTTCCTGTACCACCCCAGCAACACTTCTTCACCCTGTGGTGGCATTTCTTCATGTACCAGAAGATGAATCCAGTTTGCACTTTTCCTACCTTTGTGATACCTTAGTGCTTGCTTCTTTACCATTTTAGGTAAATAGTTAACTTTACACCTTGACAACAATCCCTTTTACTAAATTCTGATTAAGTATCTAGAGTGGTTTCTATCTTATGACTGAACCTTGACTAACATAAAAATCACTAGAAATGACTCATTAAAATCTTTGTTCTAGAAAGAACACTGGTAGTCACATAAAGGGAAGGATGTGTCAAAGACAGATTACTGGGTTTTGTACTCGCTAATAATTAAGAGGCAATTGAAATTTTTAAAAAACCCAATGTACAGAATGAATTTCACTGAACTGTGTTTTTATGTTACGTCCAGTTTTTCCTCAAGTTGCTATAATGAAACATAAACCTTACTATTACACTTATATTCCCTCCTTTCTAATACTGAGATTCATGTAATTGAGTTTCATCCCTTTTGACACTTAGGGGCTTCAGCATGAAAACTGAAGCTGAATCACGACACCAATCTCTGTAGAGCTACCTTTTTTCTCTCTTCTCCTTGGACCCGATTACACATCTCAGTTTTAGTTGTGTCTTTTACATACCATTTTACATTTCATTTGAGATGAAAGTCATCTCAAATCCTTTCAAGTGACAGATAGGTGTACAAATAATTCTTAAAGTTTTTCTTCCTTGTAATGAAATTTTGTATTATACTGTTAAGTAACAATTTCTGCCCCTGGGCATGCACAGATGCGGAAAAATTAACTTGATGTCCCATATGATGTTTAAACCCAAAATCTGAACACAAATGCAAAGATGCTATAGTATATTTAATCAATAATACATGACAATAAAACAGCTTTAGCTTCAGGTGCTGGGGGAAAGTCAGTGTTTCCAGAAAATACTAACACATTTCAGTACACCACAGAGGAAGTTAAGTGAGGCCACTGAGACTACAATAAATTCCCTTATCCTTTCCACACCCTGGATAACTTGCTTCTTGACTGAGAAGGAGCATCCCTGCTTTCATTCTACTGCTCTAAGGGTTACCAAAAGACACCTAAATGAAATCTCTTTTCTATGTACTTCTATTTCATATTGTAGCAAGTACCATTCCAGCTTACACAAAAAGACAATGTTCTCTTTAGATTTTTGCAGTTAAGTCATAACCTTGAGATAAGAGAAGAGGGATTCAAGCAAATCTACTATTTGATACACAAGGCTCAACAACCTAATTTGTCACTTTAGTACCAATATGGCTATGTGAAATCACAAACAAAAATTACCTGAAGGATTAGAAAAATCCAACATGCTGGTGGTAGGCTGCAGGAGATCGGGGCTGCTGGATGAGAGTGTTCCAGGAATAGGCATTATAGCCAGACTGTGCCGGCAGTGCCTTGTTCCTACAATGCTGTCGTCTTGTGATTGGCTCAGGCCTCCGTCACTTCAAAATAATGGCACAAAAAGTATTTGAGAATTCTGAATGGCAAACGTTTCTTTCCTCTGTATACTGAGGCATAATAAGACCAATTCAAAGTGGTGACTTAAAAAATTATATAGGTCTATTACAGCAATTAAAAAAATAGGACAACTATAATAATGAAGACACTCAAAATTTACTTAACACTAAAAATTTAACTTATACATCTAAGTAATTCTACTACACCATAAAAAAAGTCATACTGAGTTTCTGTTGGTTTTGGTAGAGAAATTAAGCCTGAATGTTTAGGGAGCCTTTAAGATCATCCAGTTTTGGCGGACACTAATATATGTATCCAACAATGTATAACCACACCATAGCAAAGTTTGCGATTTCAGCATAATAGGTTTGTGATCTTCTGGGCAAAGGACTGTTGGGTTATCTAAACCCAAACCAAAAAAACCCAGCAGGTTGTAGAAAACAAAGGGGCCAGGTCCAAGTGACAAAGAGAAGTCTTTAAACATATGAACAACCTGAGAACTGCCCAAACCAGTGAAAATGTGGCAAAGATAACAGGAAGATGGAAAACAGAAGAGCAGTGAACACTGGGTACACGTGACAAGTAGAAAGAAGAAAAAGAGGACCACAAATCAAAATAGAGGAAAAAGAATTTTACCGTTTTTTTTTTTTAAAAGATTTTATTTATTTGACAGAGAGAGACGCAGCGAGAGAGGGAACACAAGCAGGGGGAGTGGGAGAGGGAGAAGCAGGCTTCCCGCGGAGCAGGGAGCCCCATGCGGGGCTCGATCCCAGGACCCTGGGATCATGACCTGAGCTGAAGGCAGATGCTTAACAACTGAGCCACCCAGGCGCCCCCAGAAAAGAGATTTTTAAACTAGCATGTTACCATTATTTGATCATGATCCCTTTTCAGTAGTAACTTGAACAAAATGAATTTTTTTTTTTTTAAGATTTATTTGAAAGAGAGAGACACAGCGAGAAAGGGAACACAAGCAGGGGGAGTGGGAGAGGGAGAAGCAGGTTTCCTGCCGAGCAGGGAGCCCGATGTGGGGCTCGATCCCAGGACCCTGGGACCATGACCTGAGCCGAAGGCAGACGCTTAACGACTGAGCCACCCAGGCGCCCCAGAATTTTACAGTCTTTTAAGTTTATTCTAAGGACACGTTATTTCTTGTGTGATATCTCAAGTCTAATTATTTGGCTATTCTCTAGATGAGAACATCAAAACCACAGCAGAAAGCAAGCCATCTAAAGTTAATTCCCCTCAAAGGTTTCAAAAATATCAATTAAATGGCCATATTTAAGCAAACGGAACACCCCTCTTTTAAACTACACTACTTTAAAGGTTGAGAAGCCAGCCCCCAACTCAGCAGGGGTGTGGGACGCGGGATCCAATCTGTGGCTTCCTGACTGGCTCCAGAGGGTACAGCAACCTCCTAGGCCTGTGTTATAGGCTTCTGAGAAAGCATAGGACAAAGCAAGGCCTGCCACAGTACACCTGTACCTTCTCAGGCCCCAGAGAGGCTCTGGGCTTGAAGACCGGGAAAGGGGGAAGGGAGTGTCTTCCTCACTTGGGAAGTCAGCATAAGGCCTAGCAAGGCCACCCTGACTCCACACCCCAGAATTTCATTCGTTACAGATAATAGCTGCATTACTGCCAAATGACCTTATAATAACCCTGTGCACCTTTGAAAAGATTTATGGTTTTGAATCACTGCTTTTAATAACATTTGTTATATTTAAGTTATACTTAATGAGAAAAATACTTTAAAGTTGTTACACAGGCAGCTCTAAATCCATCTAAGAGAAAAAATTAAAAGAAACTTAACTCTGTCATTTAAACTTTAGAGATCCCAGAAAGTCCTACAAAACATAGGATAAATGAAGCAGTCCTATACAAACACAGGACAGCAATGAAAAAGATTTCCATTAGCATCAATGACCAAAACACCGTTTATTTCTAAGGGTTAAACCAATCCTTTAGGTTAACATTAATTCTCATGTTTTATTCAATGTAGTATTCTACCCAGTTACCTGTTACACATACAGAGGTATCAAAGAACACTTACCTGTTACCATGGAATGGATTAAATGAGTAGTAGGGGTACATCCAGAATATGTTAGGAGAAAAAAAATAGAACTTAGGCAGATTAGGGAACTATGCCAGATGAAGTGCGGAGGACAGTTAAATAAACAGCTAAAGGATGGCTAACAGCCACACAAGGAAGACAGAGCTAGGACAAGCAAGGCTGCAGAGGAGTGAGGGGAAAGCATGAAGACATGGAAGGGAACAAAAGTAAGTGTTTCAAGAGCAAGCTATGCATATAAACTTGGGCTATTAGCTATGTGACCTCAAGGAAATTTCTTTGTTTCTGGACCTTAGTTTCCTCATTTAAAAATGTGACTATTTCTCCCCCAGGGCTGCCTTAAGGATTAAATTAGGTTATGGAGGTGAATATTTTGGCACAGAGGAAAATACAATTCCAATTTTTAAGAAGACAGTAAAGTACTTTTACTAAAATTAAGAAAGAACAGTAAAAACCTAGAAAGGATTTTAAGCAATTCGTATTGAAAAAACAGAGAAAGCAGGGTGGATATAACAGGCACTATAAAAACAGGAAGTATTTACCTGGGGAGAGAAGGCAGTCTAATCTGACAGAAATAAGGCTAAGGAAATACATTATCTGATAAGGAATTCGTGCTCATGTTACATTGGTTCCTTATAATTTGCTGTGCATTGCTAAAGATCAGAGCTAAATGTTTTAAGGTTAAGTATGAGAACAAAAGGCAGGCAGCTTTCACAGAAACTGTACTTATAGCTTTGTAAGTAATCTGCAACAATTTAAATTATATGGAGAATACTTTTAAATATAACAGGCTTTCTAATTTAACAGACTTTTGAAAACAAATCTGCCTATTTTTGAACACAGAGGGTCAAGTAACTGAATCCAAAGAAGCAAACTGTTAAAAAGGTTAGCCCGTCCTATTAATAATCACAGTAGAAGCAACTTTAACAACGTTAAAAAGTTGTAATTTTCTATTAAAGGGAACTGGCTGTATTAGTTGCATTAAGATGGAATTCACTACGGAGACTAAGAAAAGTGCACGAAACACTACAAGTCCTTATCTCTCTTACTGATATTATTTACCATTACCTCTGCTTTTTAATAAGCAGAGACTGTACAGATATAATACTGTAAAGCTGGTTACAAATTCATGGTAATTGAGGTGTGAGCATGTGTAAATGAAAACTACACTAATGTTACGTACAACTCATGCTATGACATGAATGAAACAGTATCTAATTAGCAAAATATCCATGCTTTTTTGGAAGCTGAATTGATAAAGCCCATTGCAAATAATTATGTCATTTCTTACCAAAACAGTCTCCTGAGACGATGATGCAGTAACAGAAACAAGATAGTTTTGAAAAATTCCTCAATAATTCCCCAACACTAAATTTACTTAGAATAAAATGGTATTTTAGTTTCACATTATGAAACTAAAAAGGCTATGTAAATATCAATATGCAAATAAAAAATAATTCCAATATTAAAAGCAAACAGAGTATGCTGACAAAAGATGGCGAGAAAAAGTAATATCTGATAAGCAAACAAGACAGTCTACTTCTGGGACTGTTACAAAGAATAATATGAAGCTGTTACTTAGGCAATTTGTGATTAAAAAAAAAAAGCTGAGTGATTTAAAAAAAAATAGGACATCAGATTTCCTAAATGTGAAATATTCTCATCAATACCCATTTCTGTCTTTCACAGAGGTTATTAAAATTAATAAATTTTTTCCACTTGTAATTTTCAGGATAATTCTATTTTAAAATTATGTCACAGTTAGGGATTTGAGGAATTATCTATTCTTATCTCAACTATCTGTTCCTTCCTTCCTTTCATAATTCTTTTGCCTATCTGACAGATGTAGATATTCTTTCTTCCAGATTTCTATGAATGAGTGCTGCAAAAGGCAGAGACCAAGCACCCCTTCCAAAGGGTGGTACTGTACTGTACTTATAGCTTTGTAAGTAATCTGCAACAATTTAATTTATACGGAAAATACTTTTAAATATAACAGGCTTTCTAATTTAACAGACTTTTGAAAACAAATCTGCCTGTTTTTGAACACAGAGGGTCAAGTAACTGAATCCAAAGAAGCCTGACACACAGGAGACTGTCAGGTTTGTGGGATTAAATTCATTAAAGTTTTTTTCTCACTTAAAAAATATTCAAAGTAGAAAAATTTAAAAATACCATGAACAAGCAAGGAAAAGAAAATTACATGTAACACCACACCCTAGAGAAAATCACAATCAACATTTTTTCTTCTAGTTACTTTTACAGAATATAGCACAATCTATTTAACTACTCCCTTATAGCTGGGCATCTAGGGTATTTCCTTTTTTGTTTCATTACAGATAATACTACTCATAGTAGTATTATCTGTATATAAATCTTCACCTAATTATTAGAAATGGAATTAATGACTCAAAGGTATGAACATTTTTAAAACTCTCAATAAAAAAATGCCCAAATGCTTTATGGAAAGGTTACATCATTTCATATTTCCACAGCTGTCTGAGCTATCTATCTGATGTTATCAATTGGGGCCCTGACTATTCTCTTGTCAATCTATGATGAAACAAAAGGTACCCTGTTTTAAGAATAAATTGTGTATCTTGGATTACTATTGATGCAGCACAGATGATTCATGTTCTCTGCCTATTTTTCCATTGAAGTTTTAGTGATTTTTTTGTCTATCTATTAAGTTACCTGAAAGTGCCAAGAAATACATTCATTCTCAAAACTGCTAAGCAACCAGTTTGACAAATCAGTTCTTTACGCAAAACAGGCTCCAGCAGAAAAACTTTATGATTTCTATTAAAATAACCTGTTGGTTTTTGGGTTTGTTTTTTTGGCATTTATATGTCTGAAATTATTAGCATTTTACTTCACTGAAACACATTTACAAGAGATAGTTTAATATTAACTTCTGAAGTGCAGTTTCTTATTAATGTTTTGCATTCATAGCCAACAGTCTCCTACTGGCACAAGAAACTCAATACATCACTAAATGAAAAAAAAAATTCCCTTCTTAGTTAACTATTCCTACTAGATCTTTCATTTTAGGGGTACCAATATAAAGAAATAACGCTTGAAAATACTCAAATGACTGCTCCTGGCTACATTAATTTCCATGTCTCCCACTGTAACCAAAGAGAGAATCTAAGCATAAAACCAGTTCCCACTCCCTGAAGGAGATACTGTGGAGATGAGTTAGCTGCCTGAAACTTGAATATAGCCGGTTGGAATCTGACTCTAAAAAGCTATAGTCAGTTACAGTCACTATTCTCTGGTTCTAGAGAACACATGTCATAATTATGCCACTGTTCAAAACTGAAAACCAGTTAAAGGAGATATATGTATTCTACACCAAATCCACCAGGGTTTCCAGCAATGGAACTCAGGGCATTACCTCCTGAGAACTCCCTTTGCGAACTCTTTTCTGCCTTCTGGTCCTCCATTCAATTCCCTTTTGCTCATTGCCTTCCTGCAGACTTCTGGTCATCCAAAACTGTCTGCCATCTTTACACTGTGAGCTAGCCCCACTTATATTCTCCTTAATTCTCACTTATGAGAGTAAGACTTTTCTTACAGTGTTTGCAGTCCTGCTGTCATACTACAGTATGCTCAATATTAAAAGAACTTCAGCCATTTTAAAATTATCATTTTTATAAAACTACTTGCCTCAAGGAGAGCAGTCACTAAGAAACAATGAGCAGTAGACTTTGTAGAAATGAGTGACATTAAGAACAGAGCTTGGGATGTGTCAATTCTCTGTGAGCCCCAAATTAAATGAAGAACAAATGTGTTTCATGACTGGAAGTAAGAACTCAAAAAGAAGAGCATTTTCTGATCAGGCAATCTTAGAGATTTTGAACTTTAAAAAAGTTGAGAGTTGACATTTACCTATTTCCAAGTTGCCTTCTAATAGTGTCCCTGCTATTACTACTACACTGTGCTGCACATTCAACCCCAAACCACTAACAGAGCTTCTATGGCTCCCTCCTATGACATGATGAAGTCTGTATCTTTAGCATAATATTCAAAGTCCTTCATAATGTAGCACTTACCTAACTCTCCTGCTTCATCTCTAGATGTACACACACAAATATACTCTACCTAACCTACCAAGCTTGTTCCTTCTGCCTCTGTATGTATCAAAACATTAACACTCTGTAATGTCTGCTTTCCCTATTTAGATCATCAACTCTTGGGAGAACAAGAAACTTGCTCTATCTTTGTACAGTTCTACATTTGGACACTGTGTCTAGTGTATAATAAGTGTGTGGAAAATAAAGGGTTCGTGATATGAATTCCTTAGAGGTAGGGACTACCTCTTTTCAGCTCTATAATTATCACTGGGCATAGTGCTAGGAAGCATCAGGAGCCAAATAAATATTTTCTTTGAGTACGTTTTGCTTGAATATTCTTTTTTTTCCTTCATTCACTGTCTTAAATTATTCAACAAATACCGAGTGCCTACTATGTGGTAAGTACTGAACTTGACTAGAACTTTTGTAATTGGCTTTAAGAAGTAGATAATGTAAAATAAATAGATATAATATATGCTAGACTCTTTCCCAGTCATGACACTTTAGTGAACTGATTTCCTAAGTATTTTACAGACCTCAATTTACATTTAAAATCTCAAAGTTTCATTCAGTTTTGGTGACATCTCAATTTAGAAATAGGAACAGATTTGATTAAAAAGGTCATTTAGAATTCAGGAAGGAATAAATAGTACAGTAAGAGAAAGATGATTTAGAAGACAAAAAAACTAGTATCAGCAAATGTATCCCCATGATGTCCAAATTTATAGATCAAAGGACTGAAATTAGACCAAAACACACAAGAAAAGATTTCATAAAATAAAAGGGCAGTCTTTCCTAAAATTCAAAACAAAGCTACTGGAAAAACATATAATCTAGCACTGGTAACGTCACAGAAACAATGGAAAGATACTGAGAATTTATTTTCTTATTTATGGGTTACTTACAGATTGTATGATGCACTGGTTGTATAAAAACCAAACTGACCCCAAATTCCCTTCCCCCAAATAAAATTTTACAGGCAATAGGAAAAGGCCTACATGAGAGAGATCAGTGTTACCTACCTAAACAGTTTTGGAGGTAAGATACTAAACCGTGTTTTATCCAAAATTTTCCTGATTTTGTTTCTTCCACCTGAAACAGTGTTTGCTTTTATTTTCTTATTTCCTTTCTCCTGTGATGTGTGTTCAATATCTCCTGGTACATCCTGGATTGAATGGCGATTACTTTTTTTTTCAGCAATTTTAGGAATATGAGGAATACCAGATTTTTCTTGTTCAGTCCTACTAAGTAACTCTTTGAACACTGTGGAAATAAATAGATAAACTTGTCATTTCTTTTCTTCTCATTAGCAAGATTTTATAGGAACAACAAATTTGAAAGATAAACAGTCACTTTCTACTACTTGGCCTTGCAGACTCATTTATTAAACATTATGAAATTTATACCCTTCATCAGCCATATCCACTTGTCTCTTCAGTTTTTTAAGATTTTAAGTAATCTCTATACCCAATGTGGGGTTCAAACCCATGACCCTGAGATCAAGAGTCATGTGCTCTACCAAATGAGTCAGCCAGCCACCCCTAAGAATATATTCCAATTTTTCAAAAAAGTAGGCTTCATGTCCAGCTTGGGGTTCGAACTCATGACCCTGAGAATAAAGAGTTGCATGCTCTACCAAGTGAGCCAGTGAGGCACCCCTCTCTTCAGTTTTTATAACTAACCATACTTCTGATATCATCCAAAAGTGGTAAAAGTCACTGGCAAAAATGGAACGGAAGTGGGCAGGTAGCATGTTTGGAAAGTCCAGGGCTTCCTATTTACCAATAATTGCTATGTAATAATAAGTAATAAAACTGCTAATCAACTCAGACTTTATAGAAACAAGTATTTAGACTTTATTATTTACATGTTATTCCTTATCATAATATATAACATTTGAGATGAGATAGAAGTACTGCAGTGAGGTTCAGTTTTGTAAAATTTAGCCAATAAAAAAAAAATAGTTTGGCTGGACCTGTTTTTACCAGAGATGAACAGTACTAAATTTAATAATAAATGACAATTTCCTCAAGAGCACATTTATGAGAATTCTGTCACTGTTTACTCAGCTAAGAAACATTCACTACAGTGGTTTGAAGCAAACAACATATCATTCTTAGGGAACTTCATGTTAACGGGAAAACTGATGAATTATTTCATCCTTAAGGAAAAGTGAAAGCACATTGGAAGAATTGCCTGTCTCACAATCTCTTTGCCTAGATCAGATTTTTCACCTTGTGAGAGGGTCTATACCTCCTTGGGATCAGGTGAAAAAAAGACTAATCTGTGTAAGACTTTGTATCTAGTAACTACATAACCAGTATAATTAGTAATTAGTGTCACCTTTTCCAGTTAGAATAACCTATATTACCTATGTTTCATTAACTAATGTCATGAAAAATTTTTTTGGTTGTTTTAAATATGTATTCTTAAATAAGATCAACTACTGGGGGGGGGGGACAAAAAACCTAAAAAGATAAATGCTAACACAGAAAGTAACTGCTTCCTAAAAACTCATGGTGTCTGGGAGGGTCTGAATCAAAGAAAAATGAAGCTATATATTCTTGAACATGCTCGTCTTCAGAAGGTTTGGCTTTGAGTAGTACTACTTGGTACCTTTATTGAAGAAAAGCTGTAAATTATATAAATGTGCCCACTGAAAACAGAGAACTGTGATTTTTTTTGTTGTTCTGGGGATAACAGTTTCCTTCAACATCAAAGGAGTTACAAGTAAGATTCCAAAAGACAAAGGCTTAAAAATTAATGCATTACAACATAAAATAGCTTGGTATTCAGTTGTAAAAGTGGACCATCTTGAAAGTTTCAACCAGGATGATATATTACATCAAAGCATATTGAAAGTTTATGAAAAGCACATTTTCTGCCTTCAAAATAATGGGAAATCTTTAGGAGTCACCTTTTAAAGATATTTTGCTTGATTAAAAAGCAATAAATTCCTTTCACTTTCCTTTGAAAATTATGCTTTATTTTAAGCCATGTGGTAAAGGTAAAAATGCCTTTTTGAGCTAAAATCGATATGCAGTCATGCAAAAAAATATTTACTGACCTATGAAGAACATATGTCAGGCAGATTTCCCCTGTTGTAGAACAGGAAGTCTAAGATACATGGTACAGAAAGAACATAAGCTAAAGGATTAAGATAGCAGGAAAGGGAAAATCCTCCCTAATTAAGTCACTGTGTAAGAAGAGTTCAGTAAGGTGAGTAGATTTTAACTAGGCAAAGGGAAGGGAAGGAGGAATGATGCTAGGTAGAGGAAATCTCAAGTTCCAAGTCCCTGTTGCAAAAGGAAACTTAAAGAAAATTAAGATGACTGGGGAACAAGGTAGACAAGGGGCCTAAAAATGCTATGGTGAGGTGTCTGAATTTTCTATGAAGAGCAACAGGAAATCTTTAAATGGGCCGCAGATATTCCTGCCTGTGGTGTACATAAGGTAACTCAAGAGCATACAAAAGAGTTTATATCCTCGCTGGAGATGTGTATATAATTATAAATAAAACTGTAGAGATTTTGATTTATAGATGAAGAGAAAAATAGTGAATTTTAAAAATTACTTAAGATTCAGGACAAAAATAGAAGGTGAGTAAATGTAATTACAATGTCATTAAAGAGCAATATTAAATATATGAATCAGAAATGAAGGTGCCCGATAATCATAAATCTGATTAAAGATTAAAAATTTCTCAGTCTCGACATGTATGTATGTACGTTTACACACTTACACACACACACACACATCACAACAAACCACAAGCATACAAAGTCAAAAGACAACTTGGGGAAATATTTGTTACCTTTAAGACTAAAAAGCTACTGTCCTTTTTTTTATAACACATTCAAACAAATCAATGAAAAATAAAAAACTCAATATAAAAATGGAAAATGAAAAGACTTTGTGAAAAAGACATGGTAACATGTAAAAAAGGTGCTCAACTTCTCTCATCATGAAATATGCATCACTGATGGATTCCCTGGGGAATTCTACCAAACATTCAAAGAAGAAATAATACCTATTCTACTGAAGCTGTTTCAAAAAACAGAAACAGAAGGAAAGCTTCCAGACTCATTCTATGAGGCCAGCATTACCTTAATCCCCCAACCAGGCAAAGACCCCACCAAAAAAGAGAATTTCAGACCGATATCCCTGATGAATATGGATTCTAAAATCCTCAACCAAATCCTAGCTAATAGGATCCAACAATACATTAAAAGGATCATCCACTACGACCAAGTGGGATTTATCCCAAGGATGCAAGGGCGGTTCAACATTCGCAAATCAATGTGATAGAACACATTAATAAGAGGAGAGAGAAGAACCATATGGTCCTCTCAATTGATGCAGAAAAAGCATTTGACAAAATACAGCATCCTTTCCTGATTAAAACTCTTCAGAGTACAGGGATAGAGGGAACATTCCTCAAGTTCATAAAATCCATCTATGAAAAACCCACAGCAAATACCATCCTCAATGGGGAAAAGCTGAGAGCCTTTCCCTTAAGATCAGGAACATAACAAGGATGCCCACTCTCACCACTATTGTTCAACATAGTACTAGAAGTCCTAGGAACAGCAATCAGACAACAAAAAGAAATAAAAGGTATTCAAAGTGGCAAAGAAGAAGTCAAACTCTCTCTCTTCGCAGATGACATGATACTTTATGGGGAAAACCCAAAAGACTCCACCCCCAAATTACTAGAACTCATACAGCAATTCAGTAATGTGGCAGCATACAAAATCAATGCACAGAAATCAGTTGCTTTCTTATACACTAACAATGCAACTGCAGAAAGAGAAATTAGAGAAACGATTCTATTTACAATAGCATCAAAAACTGTAAGATACCTTGGAATAAACCTAACCAAAGAGGTAAAGGATCTAGACTCTAGCAACTACAGAACACTCATGAAAGAAATTGAAGAAGACACAAAAAGATGGAAAAACATTCCATGCTCATGGATAAGAATAAACATTGTTAAAATGTCTATGCTACCCAGAGCAATCTATACCTTCAACGCCATCCCGATCAAAATTCCAATGACATTTTTCAAAGTGCCGGAACAAACAATCCTAAAATTTGTATGGAATCAGAAAACACCCCGAATCGCCAAGGAAATGTTGAAAAAGAAAAACAGAGCCAGGGGCATCACGCTACCCGATTTCAAGCTATATTACAAAGCAGTGATCACCAAGACAGCATGGCACAAAAACAGACATATGGACCAATGGAACAGAATAGACAGCTCAGATTTGGACCCTCAACTCTATGGTCAAATAATCTTCGACAAAGCAGGAAAAAATATGCAATGGAAAAAAGACAGTCTTTTCAATAAATGGTGATGGGAAAATTGGACAGCTATATACAGAAGAATGAAACTCGACCATTCTCTAACACCACAAAAATAAACTCAAAAAGATGAAAGACCACAGTATGAGACAGGAATCCATCAAAATCCTAGAGGAGAACATAGGCAGTAACCTCTTTGACACTGGCCACAGCAACTTCTTTCAAGATACATCTCCAAAGGCTAGTGAAACAAAATAAAAAATGAACTTTTGGGACTTTATCAAGATAAAAAGCTTCTGCACAGCAAAGGAAACAGTCAACAAAGAGGTAACCCACAGAATGCGAGAAGATATTTGCAAATGACACTACAGATAAACGGCTGGTATCCAAGATCTCTAAAGAACTTCTCAAACTCAACACCCAAAAAACAAATAATCAAGAAAAAAAATGGGCAGAAGACATGAACAGACACTTCTCCAAAGAAGACATACAAATGGCTAACAGACACATGAAAAAATGTTCATCATCATTAGCCCTCAGGGAAATTCAAATCAAAACCACATTGAGATACCACCTTACACCGTAAGAATGGCAAAAACTGACAAGGCAAGAAACAACAAATGTTGGAGAGGTTGTGGAGAAAGGGGAACCCTCTTACACCGTTGGTGGGAATGTAAGTTGGTACAGCCACTTTGGAAAACAGTGTGGAGATTCCTCAAAAAATTAAAAATAGAGCTACCCTATGACCCAGCAATTGCACTACTTGGCATTTACCCCAAAGACACAGATGTAGTGAAAATGGCCATATGCACCCCAATGTTCATAGCAGCAATGTCTGCGATAGCCAAACTGTGGAAAGAGGCGAGATGCCCTTCAACAGATGAATGGATAAAGAAGATGTGTTCCATATACACAATGGAATATTACTCAACCATCAGAAAGGATGAATACCCAACTTT